TTTGAGAAGCATTTTGGTAGAACCTTCCCCAAAACATAACACTCCTTTCACCACGTTTCCTTGTGACAATGATATTTTCAGGATAATTACTAGTGCTGGCTATATGGCATACGTAGGGTTCGTTTCAATGCTTTTATCAATCACGTAGCAACAAGTAGGCTATTGCTAAAATAGAAGTTGCTTTATTTAGGGATTACTGGCTGCTTCCCTGCTACAAAAAAATTAATAAATATATATATATATATCAACTGGTAATTATTGGCTGCCAAAAGTTGTATCATCTCCCATTGAGATTAATAGTATACACCAGCGGTTACCAAACTGTGTGCAGACAGGTGTGCCACGGAATGTTTCCCCTGTGCTCTGATAATAGCACCGGGGAAACATAACTGCTGAACAAGTGTCCAGTCGGGTGCCGTAGTCCTTTAAGACCACGACTGGGCCTGTCACTTCCTCCCAGCATCATGCGGGATGGAGAGGAAGCAGCTGCAGGAAGAGAAGCACAAAGAGCTCCAGACCCCTCGCTCCCACCAGCAGCAGCAGGATTCCAAGCCACCCTCCTGGACACACAAGCTAACAGGAGGGTGACTGGAGATATAAAAAATATCACTTGTGTGTACGAGTTTGTGTATGTATGAGTGTGTGTGTGTGTATGAGTGTGTGTATGTATGAGTGTGTACGTATGTATGAGTATGTGTGTGTATGAGTGTGTACGTATGTATGTGTGTGTATATGAGTGTGCGTGTGTGCATGTGTGTGTGTGCATGTATAAATGCACGTCCACAATACTTTACATAATTATCCATCGATCTCCCTCTACCTCGCTTCCTATGCTCATGGGTGACTGCATGTGTCAGAGAGTATTGGTGGTGAGAGTGAATGAGTAAATATGAGTGTGTCCATTCCTCGAATACACGTATGGACATATTTAGCTGCAGGAATACTACGGAATCAGTATGGAGGACATAGTTAACCATTATTAGATTATATATTGTTGTTTTGGTTGGTGGAATTGTAGTGAACCCCAGGTAGCCCCACTGGTTACCTCCGCTAATTCCCTTCCTTCAGCTGCTCAGGAACATCTTAAAGTATAAACATACCCATTTTCCACAATAACTGGACGAGAAAAGCTCTGGAGGTACAACTCTAACTGACTCTGTTTATTTTGTCACACATGGTTTTACAGACACAGACCCCTACATGGGGTCCCCAACACAATACACCAGGGGTTTCAATCCCAAGAATCTGATGGAAGGATAGACGAGGGACAAGGCCAGCCAGTTCAAACTGGACTGGCAGTGTCCCTGTGGCAACGCCCTGCTAGGACAGGAAAACACAGGGGGAGGGGGAGAGGCACAGACAAGCAATACATTCCACTTTTATACTTTACAGGGCTGCTGCTCCCCTCTCCCCCTCCCCCCCTTTATTGAACCACAGTTGAATAAATAGGCACAAACTTGTGGCCTGCAGCAAACAAATTACGCCATCCATTACATATCTCCACCCATAGAAATAGACAGCGGGCACATGGGGATATGGCACTCAGTGACTGCATTCCATCACAGGAATCTTCCCAGAGAAGTAGCTGCTTCCACTCAATGTTCTCCCCCGCAGTTCCCCAGCTAACACCTAATCTGAAACCAGGTTCTGAGCAATGAGCAGTTAATTTGCCGCCTTGAACCCATTGCAGTATTATTGTGTTACCCAGGATACCAGCAGTGAGCCCCACACTGGGTGTTATGCCATCCAGCACAAAGCAAGTGCACTGACAGATACCACCTGTTACCATACCGCGGAAGCAGGACAGAGTGAGTGCTATAATAACCTTCAATCCAAATTACTATAGACCAGCTTCCTCTCTGTCTTTACCCATAACACTGCATTGGAGGGGGGTGTTGTTCGTATAAACCATTTATATGATAGTGTGTCCACTATTTGTGACACTGTGTGCTAGTGTGTCTGTATATATGTTTGTGTTTGTATGTGTCTGCATGTGAGTGTGTGTCAGTAAGCAAAATTGTGCAGACTAGATGGGTTCTTATCTGCCGAATGGTTCTTATCTGCCGTCACATTCTATGTTTTTATGTTCCTAAGCAGAGTAAACGCTTACCATGCTAAGAGAGTCCAACCCTTTTCTAACAGTTTGACTGTTTTTGGCCTCAGTTTTACATGTATTTTGTCAGTGCTGTGTGTACTGTTTACATTTCAATGTAAAATGTTCTCCGTGTTTCTCCATGTTCTCCACAGGAATATTTCCACTCGTTGTTCTAACCCATCAAACACACGGGAATGTGGCCAAGGCCCAGAGCCTTTTCAGGGATATGGGGGTGGAACGGATCTTTACAATAGAGAATTATACCCCAGAGGATCACATAAAGACACGAGGAAGACATGAAGAAGTCCTGAATATCTTAAATGAGGTCATTAAAGATGTCAAATTCCGAATGAGAGATCAGCAAAATCCAGTGATGAAACTGAGAGAGCGGATGCAATACATGTTCAAATATGTCTGTGAACGTGAATTAAGAATACAGGAAGAGGTAAAGGAATTAGAGAAAGTGATGCAGCTAAACCTGATGGCCATGGCAGTGAAGAAAACCAGGACAGAATCTGAAATGGAACGAGAACAGGATGAAATAAGACACGAACAAGAAAAGAGACGCCTAAAAGAAGAAATGGAAAAAGAAAACGAGAAGGAAAGACAGTTACTGGAAATGGAGATGAAGAAACTTCAGGAGGAGCTGGAGAGGTTTGACCTGAAATACAAGAATAAAAAACCAAACAAACAAAAGAAAGAGCCGTGTGCGTTACAGTGACGCTGCCCGGGGAAACCTGTAATGGGGGGGCAAGGAAACACACCCCACGATGTATATCTCATGTAATGGACACTCGCTGACACTGTACACAATGGTTCCATTCATCTTTGAGTGCAGTTTGCAGAATTTACTAGAAAGAGAACATTCATTAAACATTGGAAAAATCCCACAGATTAATAACTGAAGCTATACACCGCCCTTCAGCCAGTGCATGTTGTTAAATATAAAAAAAATCAATATTATATGAAAGAGAATGCACACCAGAACCAAAAAATATATATTGAATTATTTAATGAACCAACAATTGGTTAAACATGTCTATTACAAGAAAATACATAATGACAATAAACTGGCAAATAAAAAATCATCAGTAATAATTTACCAGAGTTCTCACAAGCCTAATAGGGCAGAAACACAAATTAAAATAACCCCCTTTATTTGAGCTTATATTATGCTTTGCATAATTAGAGTTTTGGTTTTCCCCTCCTTTTTCTCTTGTTAGATTTATAGGGCTTACTTAGTTCATACAATGTGTTTATTTTGATACCTTTTATTAATATTTGGCCAGTAATCATACAAATTACGGTAGAAAGTCACACAAAATGCTAAGGCAGTTCCCCTTATACAGGAGAAACTTGCCAAGCAAGCTGGTAAAATGATAAGCAAACACTAATATAAAGCCTAATACATCCTAGAATATGGAGTCCGACTATTAGGAAAAAAGAGCCAGGAAAATACCTAGTAGTATCAAATACTGAGGATAAGTGCTCAATAAGTATCTCTGAATAAACAGTGCTACACTGTGACTTTATTGAACTACTAAATCAAAAAGAGATACAATAGCACCTAAGTGTCAATATAATGACTTGAATTCCTATAATTATTGGTAATATCAATCTGAGGTGTAGTGGAGATAATTCATTCTCAATAGAATTCCAAATGAATTTCCAAATTTTAATACCACAAGAATGATAAACAAAAAATCCTGAAAAATAAATCCCCAGGGAGACGTTTAGCTAATAGTCCCCTAGATAGCATTGTAGTATAGCATTCAAGACATGTGAAAACAGTTCACAATGGTGACATCAATGTCCTCAAATTTCAAGGCATTGAATTAATTAAACAGGACCAGAGGAAAGGTAATTGGGATCAACGTCTAAGGAGACGCGAATGCTATTGGATTTACCGTTTAAAAACCCTGTCCCCGAAAGGTCTTAATGAGGGTTTTTCATATTCCTCATTCATTTAGAAGTCTCTCTATAAAATGTCATATTTGCTCACACCTTTGTAAATAGCCAATTTATTCATTTTAGTTATTTCTTATTTAGCTTAAAGGATTTGTTTATCTATGTTACACTCATCACTTATCATTCATGATTCTTATTACAGGTTATCACCTGGTTTTAAATACTTACCGTCTATTCTTTTCCTTCCCTTCCCCCTTTCTTAATCTTCATCCCTTTTATAATGATCTATTGACTGACTTATGGATTATTATCCCCTCCCCATTGTGGGTACATCATAGAAGGATAAAGCCCTTTTTCCCTACAAGGTTATAATCTTTAAATTTTGAAACTATCTCATTCATATTCATATAAGAAATTTGGGAGAGATTGTCTTTGATTTGGAGAGACATATATACACATATGTATGTCTTTCTTGACTAGAGACCGAATGTCATCTTTCAATTTTTTATACATTAAACGTTAGTTTCATTCATATAAATAAGTGTGTATAGGTATCCTTTATTATATTTGTAATGAGTACATCGTCTGTGTATTAAATTGCTGCAGATAGCCATACACTTGTAATGAGTACATCGTCTGTGTATTAAATTGCTGCAGATAGCCATACATTTCAAATGGCTTTTACTGTAGGAGCAATATTCAATATAAATAAACATCCCACTATTTGTGCTCATTTTATACCTACAACAACGTTAAGCTTCTCACTCATGTGAGCGATGTAAGTCAACCTCCGACGTGGCTGACAGCTAACTCCACCCATATTGTGTTCACGTGGTCCTCATACGCCACGTCATCAGTGATGAAGTGACGATATCCATCATGATAGGTTAATAGATATTTAAATATCGGGGGGGGGGTTTTGGCGGTAATTTCAAACCCCTGACGAAGGAGTCTTGGACTCCGAAACGCGCGTCGGGTTACACACGGGGGGGATTCCCTACCACTTTCCTTTGGCACATCACAGTGCACCACCTACTATGCACTAAGGAAAACCCTCCCTTCACTTATCTATGATCACTGTTTAATTGTTTTTTCCTTTTTGATACTATTTGTTTGGAGTCCGTTTTTTATTTCGATAGCAAGATAGTAAACAATTTAGCCATCTAGTATAGAACACCCACGAAGGTGTTTATTAGCAGAAGTTAAGGTAGTATAACAGAACAGGGATAGTATTGTTTCTTCCTTTGGGATAAATCCCTTTATTATATATTTTGAATATGCTTTTCTTTCTCGTCTGTCATTAGACATTTCCCCTTCTGCTCATATTATAACGCTATATCTGTATTGGCTACACTTTTCCCTCTACCTCATATATATTTTTCTCGTTATAGACTTCAATATAGAGGGATTTTTTACTACAATGCTATCTAGGGGACTATTAGCTAAACGTCTCCCTGGGGATTTATTTTTCAGGATTTTTTGTTTATCATTCTTGTGGTATTAAAATTTGGAAATTCATTTGGAATTCTATTGAGAATGAATTATCTCCACTACACCTCAGATTGATATTACCAATAATTATAGGAATTCAAGTCATTATACTGACACTTAGGTGCTATTGTATCTCTTTTTGATTTAGTAGTTCAATAAAGTCACAGTGTAGCACTGTTTATTCAGAGATACTTATTGAGCACTTATCCTCAGTATTTGATACTACTAGGTATTTTCCTGGCTCTTTTTTCCTAATAGTCGGACTCCATATTCTAGGATGTATTAGGCTTTATATTAGTGTTTGCTTATCATTTTACCAGCTTGCTTGGCAAGTTTCTCCTGTATAAGGGGAACTGCCTTAGCATTTTGTGTGACTTTCTACCTATCTTATAATAAAGGGTTCATGCCCATTCTTGGGTGGAGCTGGTACCACCTATCCTGACCGATTCCCCCTGCCCTGGATCTAACTTTTTTGTTGATCCACGATCAAGGGGAATTTTTGCTCTCGTGTATATTTGGTTATCATACAAATTACTGCTGCGGTGCTCTGATACACTCATAAACATCACAAATTACTGATGCGGAGCTCTGATACACTCATACACATCACACATTACTGCTGGGGAGCTCTGATACACTCATACACATCACAAATTACTGCTGGGGAGCTCTGATACACTCACACACATCACACATTACTGCTGGGGGGCTCTGATATGCTCATACACATCACACATTACTGCTGGGGAGCTATGATACACTCATACACATCACAAATTACTGCTGCGGAGCTCTGATACACTCATACACATCACACATTACTGCTGGGGAGCTCTGATACACTCATACACATCACACATTACTGCTGGGGAGCTCTGATACACTCATACACATCACACATTACTGCTGGGGAGCTCTGATACACTCATACACATCACACATTACTGTCGGGGAGCTCTGATACACTCATACACGCCACAAATTACTGCTGCGGAGCTCTGATACACTCATACACATCACACATTACTGTCGGGGAGCTCTGATACACTCATACACCCCACAAATTACTGCTGCGGAGCTCTGATACACTCATACACATCACACATTACTGCTGCGGAGCTCTGATACACTCATACACATCACACATTACTGCTGGGGGGCTCTGATATGCTCATACACATCACACATTACTGCTGGGGAGCTCTGATACACTCATACACATCACAAATTACTGCTGGGGAACTCTGCATCGCCACCGGGGTAACATTTTCAGCGACCGCACACGTGGCGTCTGCCCAAAAAGTTCCATAAGAAAAGTAATAGTGATCTGTCAGCCTTTGAAAGTTCCTATATGAAAATAAAAAAATGGTTCTCCTAGCTCATAGGGAGTGAATGTTCACCTCATCCTCTAGAATCTTTTCACCGAACAGCGCTGTCCTGGCTTGTCGGAAACAGAAGCAGGGGGCAGTACAAAGTTACCAAGGTTCGCGGGTTAAGGTATCTGTATTTGAAATCCAGGCACTCTACGACCTAGTACTGCTGCCTGCATTTGGGAGACAAGATGGCCACCATTTTCCAGATCATGTCCGTTTGGTTATACCAATGGTGGCCACCCAGAGAGAGCACCTGAGTTTGTGGTAGTTTTGATAATAATGAGCCAGGGGGTGGTCTGTGTTTGGTGGATAAAAGTACTGAACCAAAGAGGAACAACTTGGGCTTGGGGAAAATAGACGGTTCCAGGGCAGTTTGTCACACTTATTAACCCTTAGTAGGGAACCTATGGGGTGGGTAGCAGGTTTTTAGTATAACTCCAATGGACATTACAAAATTAAACCCTAAGCTCTAACTGGGCTGGTAAATTATTCCTTTTATCTCAAAGCAGCAAGGTGAATTGTTAGTGTAGGACTCACGTAAGAGGGTTTTCTTGAGTGGCAGATGAGCTTACAATCTGATGGCCATTGGAGTGATACTATTCAATCACTTATTAAGAAGTTGAAAATTCTGGCATCTCTTGATACCAAGCCAAGGTCAGGAAGACAAGGAATGATTTCAGTCACAACTGCCAGAATAATTGTTCAGGATACAAAAAAATAACCCACAGGAAATACAGGCTGCTCTGGAAAAAGACTGTGTGGTTATTTCAAGGAGCACAATACGACGATACTTCAACAAAAATGAGCTGTATGGTCGAGTTGCCAGAAAGAAGCCTGGTTACAATCTGCCTGACAACACCTTCACATGCCTCACAGCTTCTGGCACACTGTAATTTGTAGTGATGAGACCTAAATAGAGCTTTATGGTCACATCCATAAGCGCTATGTTTGGAGAAGGGTCAACAAGGCCTATAGTGAAAAGAATACCATCCCCACTGTGAAGCATGGTGGTGGCTCACTAATGGTTTGAGGGTGTGAGCTCTAAAGGCACGGGGAATCTTCTGAAAACTGATGGCAAGATGAATGCAGCATGTTATCAGAAAATACTGGCAGACAATTTTTATTATTTTGCCACGAAGGCTGTGCATGGGAAGCTCTTGGACTTTCCAGCATGACAATTACCCTAAGCACAAGGCCAAGTTGGCCCTCTAGTGATTACAGCAGAAAAAGGTGAAGGTTCTGGAGTGGCCATCACAATCTCCTGACCTTAATCGAGCCATTCTGGGGAGATCTCAAACGTTCGGTTCATGCAAGACGACCAAAGACTTTGCATGACCTGGAGGCATTTTGCCAAGACGAATGGGCAGCCATACGACCTGCAATAATTAGGGGCCTCATAGACAACCATTACAAAAGACTGGACACTGTCATGGCTGCTAAAGGGAGCAAATAGTCAAATAGTCAAAACCGCAGTTTAGTTAATCCTCCCCTCTCACCATAACACAAGCTGCATTCGTACCAACTCCAATCATACGAACCGCAAGTAGGGGAATACTCCAATCTCCCGAACGGAACCCTTACCCTTAGCGGCTAATAATTCCATCCAGCAGTCGCTATTCGTGTAGTTAATTCCCCTCCAATAACGAGACCATTGAGGGTAAAACATGAACTGGGTTTACTGTGGGCTACCCGCCCGTATTTATGCAGGACTCCCACTTGGTAGACACTCCCCTAGGGGACCAAATGGGAGACTGTAATGGCAGATGGACATACAGCATTTCAGGACACACAGGCACGTAATATTCCCAGCATGAATCATGGTTTCCTCCCCTCTGCCCTGGAGATAATTGAGAAGTAATTCAATTATCTCCCAGGACAGAGGCAAATTGCCATTTTAGATACAAGCCAAAAAACACATAAAAATACATAACTTTACAATTGCCAAACATTTCTCATTCGAGTAACACATCGCCAGATAGCCTGGATCTGAGTGCATGTTATTAGCGAATAGCGCTCAGGTCCCATAAGCATAGTTCAATCACCATAGAGTCAAAATCTATTACAGTCTTTCGGTATGCGATTGACTCGTTTCAAACTCCCGAGCGGCCGGTGTTCATATACTTTTGTCGATTGAGAAGGGAGGTCGGTGGCTTCAGCCGTGTTCGGCGGAAAAGGTGTCCGTTTTCAGTTCCATAGAATCTGGGCCAAACACTGCTGGTCTTTCGCTTGTTTAAAATGGCCGCCGCCTTGTGGTCGACATATGAATGACGACCACCCTGTATTCGGTTTTAATTGAGAGGTGTCTGAAGTTAACCACAATGTTCTAATTGGGATCAAGAGGTTAACCAGCAGCACACTTCTCTTCTGGGTGGCTGTCCGTTCGGTAGTTTTGTTCGTCAGAAAAGTCAATTAAACGAACAGGGGCATACGAACAGGTAATTCTACGAAAAGGCAAAACAGACGAACCAGCAATCCCTGTCACAACACAGTATTAACTACTAAGGGTATGTAGACTTTTGAAACGGGGTAATTTCATTTTTTCCTTGTTGCAATCTTTTGTGTTACGATTGTGCCATTCTGTTATAATTTACAGTTGAATATGAATCCCATCAGATATGAAAGAAATGTGTTTTTCCTGCTCACTCATGTTTTTTTTTGTAAATGGTCCATATATTACCAATACTCCAAGGGTATGCAAACTTTTGAGCACAACTGTATGTATTGGGGCTGATGTGTACCATGGTCATTGCTGCCGCCCAGGAGTAGTGGGGGTTAGAGCTTAACTGTGTATATTTCTATTTACATTAGTGACATGGAGCTCTGTTATTTGGAGTAATAGCACAGTTATTATTAGTTTAATGAACCCCTTAAGGACCAAACTTCTGGAATAAAATGGAATCATGACATGTCACACAGGGGTTAAACAGTGTTTGAGGACATAAATGTAGCTCAACATTTTGTTTTTAATGCATTTCACTGGAAACCATCTGCAAAGGTTTTAGACATTCCTTTATATCTTCCATTGAGTTTGCTAAGAAAAGAAAAGTCTATCTAACCCAGTAAATTGTGTCTTTTTGGGTTTAAAGAAAAACCATGTAAAAGTAGAAGTTAGTTTTGCTGTTTCTGATAGCGCAGTTTTGTTTAGAAATGATAATAAATTGGGAGGCGTGTGAGGAACATTTAACTAAACGTCTTCTTGGAATTGCTGCCAATAAGGAACTGACTGACATTATATTATGTTATGACTCTGAGATAATGAGCACAGACAGCTCTATGATCTGACTTTCGGTATGTAACGAGGCTGTAAATGAAGGACTTTGTCTTTTCTTCTAAACCTTTAGAAACCAGATTTAACAAACAACATTCAGTCATGGACGATATACCTCGGCTGAGACGTAACATTCAAAGCTTTGACTTCCATCACTGTAGTCTAGGATCCCAGGGGTTTAATCGAGTGCTCCTTCAGCTTTTTGGGTTTGCAGGTCATGGAAAGTCCTCCTTTATAAACAGCTGTAAGTATGTCTGGGATGATGGAGAGTTTTGTAACATAGCAAAGGCTGGAAGAGATGACGGTGCTCGGACCACGGAAAGAATATCATATGAACTGACAAAAACCATCACTCTGGTGGACAATCGTGGCTGTTCCAAAATGGATGATTACGAGAAGGGTGAAATCTTTGCTCAACTTGGTAAGTGTCAGTAATCATGGAGATTTAGTTTAGGTGATACATAGAGGATGCAAGGGGGTAAATGATCTCCTATTGAGTGTATTGAGATGTCTGTTAGCACAGTAATAGAGGAGTGGGGCAGCAGGCAGGGATTGTACAGGACTGTGATGGATGGCCTGATCCCACAAGCTCACTGCACCATTTTTGTGACTGTTTTCCATGTAAATAGGTATTTCTGTATTACAGGCGGCTCTGTATTGTGTACCTGTATTATAAATAAAGCAATATGTGTGTCTGTATATGCAGCTGTGGGTCAACAGAGGGGCAGGACAACAGGTGAAAATGTATTTTGTGGGCTAACCAAGTTAAATGCTGCATTGTGAGTGACCACCTGCTGTGGGAGCCAGTAAGTCTATCTACTACAGCAACGGGACAGTGGGTCCAATCAAGATAACCTTTTGTTTGTGTATTGGCAGAAGAGGGGGGCTGGGGAGGGGGGGTGTTAGGGGTTAGAGGGAGTGGACTAGTGTAAGGAATCACTTTGTATCCAGTTATTTCCTGTGTGTTCTATTTGCCCTGTTCTGTATTCCCATTGGTGAAAGTTTAATTTACTGTATGTTGTGATCTAGCTGGAGCTGTGTACAATAAACTGAGTCTGAGTTCTAGGTGATGCCAAGAAAGAAGCTGGTTTGTCTCTGCCTTGAGGTCTCCCAAGATACGGCTATTCATTGTCCTCTATAGAGTAATTACTAATAAGAGTATTGTCAGAAGACTGGATGGAAAGGATATCATATAGTAACCAGATATCTGCTCAGTATGTCCTGCGTCCCCTACCAAAGAGGAGTCCTAGCATTTAGTGGAGCAGTTTAGTGCTGAAAGTTATGTAAAAAGAAACCCATGGATGATATATCAAGGTCGTATCATCACACGGACCTGTGCTAGCCAGCCCCCTAGATTTGTGTTTGGGTTGTGTCTCCTGATCTCAATACTCACCATGGCAGGACTGGCCCCCTGAGATCCCGTGACCTGGGCATTCACTTATCCTTAACCTTCTGGCCTAAAGTTTCCAGCTCTCCTCTGGACATCAGGATCTCTCTGTCTGAGTGATAGACTGTACCTGCCACAGCCAATCTTCCAAAAGGTTGTACATTGCTGAGAACAGAAAATTCAGTACAATTCCTGATCTGTTCTCTGTCATTTCTTCAATAAAGAGATATATTCACAAAAAGTGCAGTTTCCTTGTCAATACTATGCTATTCTATCATCCTCACTGTTTGTGCTTCCTGCCCCCAGGAGTGGGCTATGGGTGGGAGCTCTAATATGATAAAAGGTGGGGGACATGTGCATCCCCACAACCTTGGGCTCTATCAGGGTACCGACTGATTATGCAAATTTTAGACATTTTAATATAGTCAAATATAGCATAAATGCAAACTTGCACCTTTGGGTGCCTTCAAGCCCAGATTTGAATAATTTCACGTTTGTGCCTAAATCGTATGTATGCAATAGAAATCAGACATATTGTGCAGTGTATGAGAATGGAAATGGACTTGGGACACCACACCTACCACATTCACATTTCACAGAGCCACACACTTGGCTCTAGGCATCAGTGTATCAATGTATTACGAAACCACATTAGAACCTCACCAGATCAACAATTTAAATTTATTAAAACAATAAACTGTGTAAAAAACAATACCAGAATATTGACCTCTAATCTCTAGCCCATCTCTCACATGGAACAAATGTCATTGGGCTACAAAATGCGTATGGAATTAAATAGGCTTGCTGAAGTGTTTATGGCTCAAGAACCGCGTCTGTCCAGCGTTTCACCTTGAAATGCTGCCAATCAAAAAATTACTATATTCTATTAATTAATTATTAATTATGCTATGTTTGTTTTATCTGGCAGCTAATTTACTTCCAGTGGATGATCCTGTTGAATGGAGCAAGGGATTGGGACTTATGGACCGGATATTTGAGGCAGAATATCGAATAAATACCTCTGACTTTATCGTACCTATCTTTATCTACAGGTAAATTAATGACATGCTTCACCACAAGTAGAAAAACTATTGATTAATGAGGATGCATTATGTCTTCTTTCCAAGGCTAGATATGTGTTGGTAAAAGGTAAAAAATAAGTAACTAAATGCAGTACAGACAGGAAAAAAGTCATATGGCCAGAATTCAGAAAAAAAGGATTGGGGAGAGAAAACATGGAGAAGGAGTGAAACTCATTAAGGGAAATAGGAGCTAGAGGTGAGAACAGAGGACATGAGCAGGTCTTTGCAGAGCGAATGGGGCAGATGGAATATATATATATTTAGTTGTGAGGATGTGGGGGGGATTGATGGGAACTTTAATGTGTTAATACTATAGTATGGCGGTGTAGCCAGCTTTGATGTTATTACATTACATGATCTGGTTTATTAATAATCAAGTTGTAAAAAAAAAACTGAAGGCATGATTGCCTTTATAACAGTCAGTCTTGTGTTTCCTGTTTAGTGTGAAAAAATCCATAGCATCTGCTGAGATAAATGGACTACGAGAGTTGCTCACAGTGGCCAGAGATCTGACAGGTAAACCTCCGTTTCCAAAACAAGTATATAAAGTATTGTAAGCACACACTACCAACATAGTATTCTCTTATTTAAGACGAAGATAGAAGAAAAAGAAGAAAACATTTTCCATAAATATTCACCAGCATGAGCCAAAATGTATTGGTCCACCTTTGAGTGTAATGAAAGTTGGGTGTTTTTTAGGTAATTCTTTACCTGCTATTAGAACATCTGGATTCTTCTCGGGAGAATTACTAAACCTGTCAGGTTGGGTGCGGGATGGGGGCCAGTGATGACAAGCAATTCTCAAGTCTTTTTACCAATTCTCAATTAAATTGAGGTCAGGATTTTCTCTATTCCATTCTAAGGATTTGGATTCTTGGTTTCAACCCACTCCAGTGCCGCTGATTCTCCACCCCAGTTTCCTGTGTTCTGCAAACAGGGTTTCCTCTAGAATTGCTTTAAGATAGGTTCCATCCAACTTGCCCTCAGTGCTGGTTAGTTTTTCTACATTTTCTTTGAGAAGCATTTTGGTAGAGACTTCCCCAAAACATGACAATCCTTTCACCACGCTTCCTTGTGACAATGATATTTTCAGGATAATTACTAGTGCTGGCTATATGGCATACGTAGGGTTCGTTTCAATGCTTTTATCAATCACGTAGCAACAAGTAGGCTATTGCTAAAATAGAAGTTGCTTTATTTAGGGATTACTGGCTGCTTCCCTGCTACAAAAAAATATATATATATATATCAACTGGTAATTTTTGGCTGCCAAAAGTTGTATCATCTCCCATTGAGATTAATAGTATACACCAGAGGTTACCAAACTGTGTGCAGACAGGTGTGCCACGGAATGTTTTCCCTGTGCTCTGATTATAGCACCGGGGAAACATAACTGCTGAACAAGTGCCCAGTCGGGTGCCGTGGTCCTTTAAGACCACGACTGGGCCTGTCACTTCCTCCCAGCATCATGCGGGAGGGAGAGGAAGCAGCTGCAGGAAGAGAAGCACAAAGAGCTCCAGACCCCTCGCTCCCACCAGCAGCAGCAGGACTCCAAGTCACCCTCCTGGACACACAAGCTAAGCTAACAGGAGGGTGACTGGAGATATAAAAAATATCACTTGTGTGTACGAGTTTGTGTATGTATGAGTGTGTGTGTGTGTGTATGTGTATGTATGAGTGTGTCTGTGTGTTTGTGTGTGTGTGTATGAGTGTGTGTGTGTGTGTATGAGTGTGTGTGTATGTATGTGTGTGTATGAATGTGTGTGTGTGCATGTGTGTGTGCATTTGTGTGTGTTCATGTATGAGTGTGTGTGTATGTATGAGTGTGTGTGCATGTATGTGTGTGTATATGAGTGTGTGTGTGTGTGCATGTGTGTGTGTGCATTTGTGTGTGCATGTATGAGTGTGTGTGTCTGAGTGTGTATATGCATGAGTGTGTGTATATGTATGTGTATGTATGATTGTGTATGTGTGTGTGTGAGTGTGTGTGCGTGTATGTGTGTGTGAGAGTGTATGTATGAATGTGTGTGTGTGTATGTATGTATGAGTGTGTGTGTTTGTTTGCATGAGTGTGTGTTTGTTTGTATGAGTGTGTGTGTGTGTCAGGGTGTGCATCTGTGTGTGTGTATATATGTCAGTGTATGTCTGTGTGTGCACACACATCTGTGTGTTAGGATTTGCATCTGCATACATAGGCGCGCACACGGGGTGTGCCGGGGAGGCAGGAGAGGACCCGGGGAGCTCTTGCCATCAGCTCCGCCGGGTTCCTCTCACGAGGTCGACACCCTTACACACACAGCACCTTCACACATACACACACAGCACACACTAACAGCACCTTTACACACACATCACCCTCACACACATCACCCTCACACACAGCACCCTCACACACACACAGCACACACTAACAACACCCTTACACACACAGCACCCTCACACACACAGCACCCTTACACACACACAGCACACACTAACAACACCCTTACACACACACACTAACAGCACCCTCACACTAACAACACCCTAACACACACAGCACCCTCACACATACACACACACAGCACACACTAACAGCACCCTTACACACAGCACCCTCACACACAGCACCCTCACACAAAACACACACTAACAGTACCCTTACAAACACAGCACCCTCACCCACACACACAAAGCACACACTAACAGCACCCTTACACACATAGCACCCTCACACACACACACACACACTAACAGCACCCTTACACATACACACACACAGCACACACTAACAGCACCCTTACAAACACAGCACCTTCACACACACAGCGCCTTAACACACACAGCGCCTTAACACACACAGCGCCTTCACACACACAGCGCGCCCACACATAGCGCCTGCACACACAGCACCTGCACACACACAGCGCCTGCACACACACAGTGCCTTCACATACAGCACCTACACACACACAGCACCTACACACAGCACCCTCACACACACAGCAGTGTGTGTGTATGTATGTGTATATATATATATATATAGATACGCGGCGTGTGTGTTTCTGCTTTCGGGTGCACACCCTTATGCAATAGGCTGCGCACACCTATGTCTGTATATGTGCATCTATGTGTCATTTTGTGTGTTTTTATATCAGTGTGTGTATCTGTATCATGGTGTGTGCATGTATCAATGTTTGTGTTTGTGTCAGGGTGCATGTGTGTGTATATGTTGGTAAATACATGTGTTAAGGTATGTGTCAGTGTGTATCTATATATGTGTATGTGTCGCTGTCTCTGTGAATTTGTGTGTATGTACCTTTGTAAGTATGTATGTGGTAGTGTATGTGCATACATCCAAACAGTCATACACCAGCACAACATACAAAAATACTCCTGCAATCTAACACAAATATTACCTACAAACACACCCCTGCATCCAAACTCCAAAAGGATATACAAACACACTCTGCATTTAAAAGTTAACATTACATTCAGACACACGCCTGTATGAAACACAATACATGTATGCAAGCACCCCTTCAAACACCAACACTGTACGTTACACTATAGCGCCAGTAAATGCGGCAGCGCTGTACAGATATACAACCTAGAAATTTTGACTTGGGGCGCCTTGGAAAAATACTGAAATATTAAGGGCGCTTTGAGCCTAAAAAGTTTGGGAACCACTGGTATACACTAAACATTAAGTGACATTAAGTAACAATTTCAATACAATCTAACTTCAATCCAGGTTGTAACACTACTTTAAGTGGAAACGGGTGAATATTTATGTACGGCAGTGTAATAGCTGTAATGTTTATTTTTTCAGCCGTGACCGTATTGCGGTAAATGCACGTCCACAACACTTTACATAATTATCCATCAATCTCCCTCTACCTCACTTCCTATGCTCATGGATGACTGCATGTGTCAGAGAGTATTGGTGGTGAGAGTGAATGAGTAAATATGAGTGTGTCCATTCCTCGAATACATGTATGGACATATTTAGCTGCAGGAATACTAAGGAAGCAGTATGGAGGACATAGTTAACCATTATTAGATTATATATTGTTTTTTTTGGTTGGTGGAATTGTAGTGAACCCCAGGTAGCCCGACCGATTACCTCCGCTAATTCCCTTCCTTCCGCCGCTCAGGAACATCTTAAAGTATAAACATACACATTTCCCCCAGTAACTGGACGAGACGCAGCTCTGGAGGTACAACTCTAACTGACTCTGTTTATTTCATCACAAAAGGTTTTACATGCACAGACCCCTACATGGTGTCCCCAACACAATACACCAGGGGTTTAAATCCCAAGAATCTGAAGGGAGGATAGACGAGGGACAAGGCCAGCCAGTTCAAACTGGACTGGCAGCGTCCCTGTGGCAACGCCCTGCTAGGACAGGAAAAGACAGGGGGAGGGGGAGAGGCACAGACAAGCAATACATTCCACTTTTATACTTTACAGGGCTGCTGCTCCCCTCTCCCCCCCTTTGTTGAACCACAGTTGAATAAATAGGCACATGTAAAACAGTCACAAAAATGGTGCTGCAAACTTGTGGCCCGTGGCAAACAAATCACACCATCCATTACATATCTCCACCCATAGAAATAGACAGCGGGCACATGGGGATATGGCACTCAGTGACTGCATTCCATCACAGGAATCTTCCCAGAGAAGTAGCTGCTTCCACTCAGTGTTCTCCCCCGCAGTTCCCCAGCTAACACCTAATCTGAAACCAGGTTCTGAGCAATGAGCAGTTAATTTGCCGCCTTGAACCCATTGCAGTATTATTGTGTTACCCAGGATACCAGCAGTGAGCCCCACACTGGGTGTTATACCGTCCAGCACAAAGCAAGTACACTGACAGATACCACCTGTTACCATACCGCGGAAGCAGGACAGAGCGAGTGCTATAATAACCTTCAATCCAAATTACTATAGACCAGCTTCCTCTCTGTCTTTACCCATAACACTGCATTGGAGGGGGGTGTTGTTCGTATAAACCATTTATATGATAGTGTGTCCACTATTTGTGACACTTTGTGTAAGTGTGTCTGTATATATGTTTGTGTTTGTATGTGAGTGTGACAGAACCATCTGTCTGCTTATTTTAGGTGTATTCGTCTGTTTTATCCTGTTCGTATGAATGGCTGTTTTCTATAGCCCAGCCATTCGAATGACTGTTTTTTCCCTAACAAACTAGCCGAACGGACAGCCACCCAGGAGAGAAGTGTGCTGCTGGTTAACCTATTGATCCCAATTAGAACGCTGTGGTTAACCGCAGACACTTCTCAATTACACAAATTCAGGGTGGTCGTCGTTCGTATGTCGATCACGAGGCAGCGGCCATTTTAAAACCACACGAAAGCCCAGCGGTGTTCGGCTCTATTTTCATGGAACTAAAAACGGACACTTTTTCTGCCGAACACCGCTGAAACAAAGGAACGCCTGGCTGCCTCCACGAAAGCATACGAATACCGGCCATTCGGGAGTTTGGGAAGCATACGAAAGTACTTAACCCAGATAGCCTTCCCATGGAGTCATTCGTATACTGAAAGACTGTAAGAACTTTGACTCCATGGCAATTGAACTATGTGTGTGGGATCTGAGCGCTATTCGCTAATAATATGCACCCAGATCCAGGCTATCTGGGGATATGTGATACGAATGCAGAATGTTCGGTTATTGTGAAATTATGTATTTTTATGTCTTTTTGGGTTTTATGTTTAAAATGGCGACTGGCTTTGTCCTGGAGATAATTTAGTTACTTGGTAATTATCTCCAGGGCAGAGGGGAGGGAATCATAGTGCATTATGGGTAAAAACTGTGTCTATGTGTCTGGAATGTCCCCATATCTGTCTGTCATTTAAGTCTCCCATTTGGTCCCCTAGGGGAGTGTCCACCAAGTGGGAGACTTGCATAAATACGGGCAGGTAGCCCACAGTAAAGCCAGATCCTGTTTGACCCTCAATGCAGAGCTTCTGTCTCGTTATTGGGGGGATTTCTTCTTCACGTTTAGAGACTGCTGGATGGAAACGAAAGCCGCTTGGTGGATGTTATTGTTCGGCGGCTAGCAGCAATTCGTGTATTGCCGTTCGGGAGTTTGGAGCCGTTCAAGGATCCCGGTCGGGAGATTGCCGCTTCCCCTTCATTTGGTTCATGCACTACAGGTTAGGCGAACCGAGTTACTGATATTGCAGACGGGGAAGGTCTACTAAACGGCGGTTTTGCCTAAAGACACTGGAGGTGTCTTAATAATTGGTGGCGAGTGACGGGATGAATCCCACAGCACTGGAGGTCAGCTACACATCCCTATTGAGCAAAGGAAATGCAGTATGAGGAGTTAAGACGTGCTACGCTTAAAGATATATTGGAATGCCGAGGACGGTCATCAAGCAACTTAAAGAAACGGGAGATTATTGCTTTGCTGGTAGAAATGGATGCGACACCGGGAATGGAGAGAGCTAATGTGCCCAGTACTTTGGATTTAACACCCAAGGAATTACAATTTATTGAAACAGAGGGCGAGATTGATGGGTTCCTGGCGGATTTTGAGAGGCAGTGTGCCCTACACCAGGTACCAGCAGATGAATGGGTCACCATCCTCTCTGGGAAGTTATTCGGCCGGGCTAGTGAAGCATTTCGGGCCATCCCAGAGGAGGAGATCACCAGCTACCGGGCTGTGAAGCATGCACTCCTAGCCAGGTATATGGTGACCCCAGAAGCTTACTGAAGGCGATTTAGGGAAACCAACAAGCAGGTTGGGGACTCTTATGTAGAATGGGCCTGCAGGCCACTGGATGGCAGGATGCCAAGCGGTAACTGGAGAGGAGATACTACAAGTGTTCCTGCTGGAGCACTGCTTTGATAGACTACCTGCTGGGGTCCGGGAGTGGGTCAGAGATAGAAAACCCTCTCCCCTACCCGAGGCTGGCCGTCTGGCAGACGAATATACGGACGCTCGTAAGTTAGATAGTACGGCTAACAAAGCCCCTACCAGACTGGAGTATCGACCAGCAGTACCTCCAGCTCCTTCAGCCTACCAACCCCCAGTACACTGCACCCCAGCCGCACCGCCAGCTAACAACTACGTGCAACCATCCAGATTTAATGCCCGTGATTATTCACAACCTATCCGGTGCTTTGGGTGCAAACAGTTGGGGCACAAGCGTCCAGAGTGCCCACTGAACAGTGCCAACCAAGCCCAGTCCTGGAGGAGACCAGCCAACGGGAACCAGCGGCCACCTCAGCCTGCTGCTCACTGCATAGAGCAGGAGGAGTTCTGGGGCATCCTACACGAGGCCGACCCAGTGCAAGCAGCTCACCAGGATAATCACCAGCAACATCGGCAGACGGTGAAACTGAATGGCAGGGTGGTGAATGGGCTAAGAGACACAGGAGCCACCATGACACTGCTCCAAAAGAACCTGGTCTCGGAGCACCAGCACACAGGGGCGGTGAGGGTAGCAGGGGGTGCCGTATTTCGTTTACCTGTTACCCGGGTCCATTTGGATTGGGGAGTGGGCACTAGACACGTGGATGTGGAGGTGATGAAAGACTTGCCCGCAGATGTTCTTCTGGGGAACGATTTGGCCCCTTTGGTTTCAGCCTATGCCCCGATGGGCCCTGCGGATGTTAACCCAGTGACCACCCGTGCATAGCTGTTGACATTGTGGGTCCACTGGCCAGGGCTAGTCCATCAGGTAAGAAATACGTTCTTATCGTGGTGGACTATGCCACTCGCTATCCAGAGGCAGTAGCGCTGTCTAATATAGAGGCAGAGACGGTTGCTGATGCCCTGGTTAGAATTTTTACTAGGGTCGGGTTCCCTAAGGAGATTCTCTCCGACCAGGGAACCCAATTCACCGCTGTGCTCACCCAGCAGCTGTGGAAGGTGTGTGGCATTAAGCCGTTACTTAGCTCACCCTACCACCCACAGACTAACGGTCTCTGCGAGCGCTTTAACGGTACCCTCAAACAGATGCTGAGGACCTTTACAGACACTTGCAGAGACTGGGAGAGGTTCCTGTCTCATCTGTTGTTTTCTTACAGAGAGGTGCCCCAGGAATCTACTGGGTTCTCCCCCTTTGAGTTGCTGTGTGGGAGAAGGGTCCGCGGACCCCTAGATCTCATTCGGGGCCACTGGGAGGGGGAGACAGAGCAAGAGGGGACCCCCATCATGCCATATGTTCTGGAACTCCGGGACCGCATGGAGAAACTGTCCCTGATGGTAAGGGAAAGTCTCCAGGCGGCCCAGGGGAGACAGAAAAGATGGCACGATCAGGGTGCCCGACAGCGGGTCTTCCAGGTTGGGCAAAAGGTATTGGTGCTCAAACCTGTGAAGGCCAACAAGATGCAAGCATCTTGGCAGGGCCCGTACAAGGTAGTAGTGCAGATCTGCGATACTACTTACTTGATAGCCAGCTGTGCAGATGAGAGGGTCCAGCGATCCTTTCATGTGAACGTGCTGAAAGAGTACCAGGAGAGGCCTGAGAATATTGCAGCCGTATGTGCCCCAGCTGCAGATGATTCTGAGAATCTACCCCTTCCAGATTTATTAGAAAGGGATTCCCAGACTGACCTTACTACCCTTGTACAGCTAGGGGACAGGTTGAACCCCACAGAAAGGGTACAGGCACAGCAGTTGTTGTGGGAGAAGCAGACGACGTTCTCCCAGGAGCCAGGTTATACCGCCCTAGCTGTACATAAGGTAGACACCCCTGGACAGACCCCCTTACGACAGCCCCCCTATCGCATCCCTGAAGCAGTCCGGGAAGGAATGAGGAAGGAGATACAGGAGATGACCCAACTTGGGGTCATTGAGCACTCCGACAGCCCTTGGGCCTCGCCTGTAGTCCTGGTACCCAAGAGAGATGAGACCACCCGGTTCTGTGTGGACTACAGGCAGCTCAACGAGCGGACCACCACTGACGCCTACCCAATGCCCCGGGTAGACGAATTACTGGATCGTATTGCCAGGGGGCGCTATCTGACCACCATAGACCTGTGTAAGGGCTACTGGCAGATCCCCCTGGCCGAGGATGCTATCCCCAAGCCAGCATTTGTCACCCCATTTGGCCTGTACCAATTTAACGTCATCCCTTTTGGGATGAAAAATGCACCGGCTACCTTCCAACGGATGGTGGATAGACTCCTGGATGGCTTCCAAGAATTTGCCTGTGCATACTTGGACGACATTGCGATCTACAGTGGGTCCTGGGAGGAACACCTGGTTCATGTAGGGGTGGTACTGGATAAAATTCGGGCCGCTGGCCTGACATTGAAGCCAGAGAAGTGCCATCTAGGTATGGCGGAAGTACAGTACCCGGGTCACAGAGTGGGATGTGGGAGCCAGAGACCAGAGCCAGCCAAGTTAGAGGCAGTGGCTAACTGGCCCACACCTACCACTAAGACCCAGGTACTGGCCTTTTTGGGGACCGGGTCTCAGGAGACAATAGGAGACTACTGAGATGGAGCTTGGCATTGCAGCCCTACAATTTTACCATCAGCTACAGACCCGGTAAGCTGAACGGGAATGCAGATGGGTTATCTAGGCAAACAGACGTCTCCACCACCTCTTAGTCCGGTCATCCCCAAGTTGACCCGCCACAGGGTCAAGCCGGGTCTGCCGGAGTGTCCCACAAGGAGGGAGCCGTGTGACAGAACCATCTGTCTGCTTATTTTAGGTGTATTCATCTGTTTTATCCTGTTCGTATGAATGGCTGTTTTCTATAGCCCAGCCATTCGAATGACTGTTTTTTCCCGAACAAACTAGCCAAACGGATGGTCACCCAGGAGAGAAGTGTGCTGCTGGTTAACCTATTGATTCCAATTAGAACGTTGGGGTTAACCGCAGACACTTCTCAATTACACGAATTCAGTTTGTATGTCGACCACGAGGCAGCGGCCATTTTAAAACCACGCGAAAGTCCAGCGGTGTTCGGCTCTATTTTCATGTGTAACGGACCGTTTTGCACAAAAGGGGAAAAAAAACGCTTAGACAATAATCCCCCTTTCAGAGACAGGCACAGCTACTGTAGAATCACCAAAACTCATGAACTGAATACAAGTGAATGCTCCAAACTCCCGAACGGCATACAAGGGAATGCTCCAAACACTCGAACTGCATACAAGGGAATGGTCCAAACACTCGAACTGCATACAAGTGAATGCTCCAAACTCCCGAACGGCATACAAGGGAATAAGGTAGCACTCCAAATACACGAACAGGAACCATACGAATTGCTGCTACCAGACGAACAGGAAAAGCTCCCAAGCGGCTTACACTCCTGGCAATCAGTCCTTAGCAGCATACAGTAAATCCCCCCAAAGACGAGACAAGGCTCCGTGTTGAGGGTCAAGCAGTGGTCTGTTTAATGAGGGCTACCTGCCCAGCTTTTATGCAGGTCTCCCACCTGGTGGACACTCCCCTAGGGGACCAAATGGGAGACTGTGACAAGGGACAGACAAGTATACAAAAAGGACACACAGTCACAGTATATTCCCACAATGCATCCTGGCTTCCTCCCCTCTGCCCTGGGAGATAATTGGGAAGTAACTCAATTATCTCCCAAGACAAAGGCAAAACTCCATTACACACGTGGGAACACAAAACAGCATTATACTTTAAAATGCACAAAGTAACATTTACTACATTAAACCACAGACATGTAACATATCCCCAGATAGCTCAGGTCTGAGTGCACATTATTAGGGGAATGGCACTCAGACTACACGAATACAGTTCAATCGCCATGGAGCCAAAGTCTTTACAGTCAGTTTCATACGAATGGGCTCCATGGGATTCCTATCTGGGGTATGAGATATTCACACAAAAATACCGAACACCGGGTCATTCGTGTGCTTTCACCGAACAAGAAGGGAGGTCGGCGGCTTCAGCGGTGTTCGCGCAAAACTGTGTCCGATTTTAGTTCCATAAAAATAGAGGCGAACACCGCTGTTCATTCGTATGGTTTAAAATGGCCGCGACCTCGTGTTCGGGATACGAACGGCGGCCACCCAGCGTTCATCAATTAAGCTGCGGTTAACCGCAGCTTCAGGGAGGTTAATTGCCGGCACACTCCAGCTCCCAGGTGGTCCAGTCATTCGTACGGTTGTTCGGTAGATTGAAACTACCGAACAACCGGCAGAAAAGCATGAATATGGCTTTTCTGCATGGAAAAATTCAGTCTTTTAAAAGGGGCCATAGTCCAAAGGCAGCAGGCGAGCAACCAGGCTTCTCCAATGCAATGTGGCGAGATTGGTCTCGTCACATCATGGAACTAAAAATGGACACTTTTTCTGCCGAACACCGCTGAAACAACGGAACGCCTGGCTGCCTCCATGAAAGCATACGAATACCGGCCGTTCTGGAGTTTGGGAAGCATACAAAAGGACTTAACCCAGATAGCCTTCCCATGGAGTCATTCGTATACCGAAAGACTGTAAGAATTGACTCCATGGCAATTGAACTATATGTGTGGGATCTGAGCGCTATTCGCTAATAATATGCACCCAGATCCAAGCTATCTGGGGATATGTGATACGAATGCAGAATGTTCGGTTATTGTGAAATTATGTATTTTTATGTCTTTTTGGGTTTTATGTTTAAAATGGCGACTGGCTTTAATTGAGTTACTTGGTAATTATCTCCAGGGCAGAGGGGAGGGAATCATAGTGCATTATGGGTAAAAACTGTGTCTATGTGTCTGGAATGTCCCCATATCTGTCTGTCATTTAAGTCTCCCATTTGGTCCCCTAGGGGAGTGTCCACCAAGTGGGAGACCTGCATAAATACGGGCAGGTAGCCCACAGTAAAGCCAGATCCTGTTTGACCCTCAATGAGGAGCTTCTGTCTCGTTATTGGGGGGATTTCTTCTTCACGTTTAGAGACTGCTGGATGGAAACGAAAGCCGCTTGGTGGATGTTATTGTTCGGCATCTAGCAGCAGTTCGTGTATTGCCGTTCGGGAGTTTGGAGCCGTTCACGGATCCCGGTCGGGAGATTGCCGCTTCCCCTGCATTTGGTTCGTGCACTACAGGGTAGGTGAACCGAGTTACTGATATTGCAGACGGGGAAGGCCTACTAAACGGCGGTTTTGCCTAAAGACACTGTAGGTGTCTTAACAGTGAGTGTGTGTCAGTAAGCAAAATTGGGCATACTAGATGGGCCGAATAGTTCTTATCTGCCGTCACATTCTATGTTTCTATGTTTCTATGTTACTGTTTACATCTCAATGTAAAATGTTCTCCATGTTTCTCCATGTTCTCCACAGGAATATTTCCACTCGTTGTTCTAACCCATCAAACACACAGAAATGTGGCCAGGGCCCAGAGCCTTTTCAGGGATATGGGGGTGGAACAGATCTTTACAATAGAGAATTATACCCCAGAGGATCACGTAAAGACACAAGGAAGACATGAAAAAGTCCTGAATATCTTAAATGAGGTCATTAAAGATGTCACATTCCGAATGACAGCTCAACAAAATCCAGTGATGAAACTGAGAGAGCGGATGCAATACATGTTCAAATATGTCAATGAACGTGAATTAAGAATACGGGAAGAGGTAAAGGAATTGGAGAAAGTGATGCAGCTAAACCTGATGGCCATGGCAGTGAAGAAAGCGAAGACAGAATCTGAAATCGAACGAGAACAGGATGAAGACACGAACAAGAAAAGAGACGCCTAAAAGAGGAAATGGAAAAAGAAAATGAGAAGGAAAGACAGTTACTGGAAATGGAGATGAAGAAACTTCAGGAGGAGCTGGAGAGGTTTGACTTGAAATACAAGAATAAAAAACCAAACAAACAAAAGAAAGAGCCGTTTACTTTACAGTGACGCTGCCCGGGGAAACCTGTAATGTGGGGGCCAGGAAACACACCCCACGATGTATATCTCATGTAATGGACACTCGCTGACACTGTACACAATGCTTCCATTCATCTTTGAGTGCAGTTTGCAGAATTTACTAGAAAGAGAACATTTATTAAACATTGGAAAAATCCCACAGATTAATAACTGAAGCTATACACCGACCTTCAGCCAGTGCATGTTGTTAAATATAAAAAAAATCAATATTATATGAAAGAGAATGCACACCAGAACCAAAAAATATATATTCAATTATTTAATGAACCAATAATTGGGTAAACATGTCTGTGACGAGACCAATCTCGCCACATTGCATTGGAGAAGCCTGGTTACTCGCCTGCTGCCTTTGGACTATGGCCCCCTGTTAAAAGACATCTTTTTTACCTGCAGAAAAGCTTCATTCATGCTTTTCTGCCTGGGGTTCGGTAGATTTGTTTGAATGTGTTATACCCCAGATAGGAATCCCATGGAGCCCATTTGTATGAAACTGACTGTAAAGACTTTGGCTCCATGGCGATTAAACTGTATTCGTGTGGTCTGAGCGCCATTCACTTAATAATCTGCGCTCAGACCTGAGCTATCTGGGGATATGTGAAATGTCTGTGTTTATGTAATAAATGTGATTTTTTTTTTTTTTTTTGAGGGTCAAGCAGTGGTCTGAGGTGCTGGCACACCCAGCCTGGTTTTTATTATAGTCTTGCAAATACAGGACCGCCCACAGGGAGGTATAAAACAACCAATCACATCACAGTTACATCCCACATATTCCCTCCCCTTATCCTGAGAGGAAACTCAATTACACATACAGTTAAAAACATACTTTCTACCCAACTTTCATAACTCTAAAACCATACATCACATTCACATAAAATTACATATTCACAATCAATCCATTCAGGGGAACAACATATTAAAAAATGGCACGAATCAGACCAGGGGTTCAAAAGTTAAGGGAAAGTCCTTTGTGACTAAATGAAGCATGGCTTTCTGGCCCAAACCAGTTTCAGAGTCTTCTATCCTGGAGAGTAATTCAATTATCTCCCAGGACAGACACAAGACTCCATTAAGCACATGGTTGCAAAAAGACACAAAGACAGTAAAACACTTTAAAATACATAAAGTTACATTTATGACCTAAAATACAGACATGCAACATATGCCCAGATAGCTTAGGTCTAAGCGCACATTATTACTGAATGGCGCTCAGAGCACACAAGTTCAATTGCCATGGAGCCAAAGTCTTTCCCATAGTCTTTCATTATACGAATGGGCTCCATGGCATAGCTATCTGGGGTATCACTTCTCAAACAGGGCAAGCACCAAATGACCCGGCTTTCTTGTCTTTGCAGGGGAAAATAAAGTCTTTTAACATGGGGCCATAGTCCAAAGGCAGCAGGCGAGCAACCAGGCTTCTCCAATGCAATGTGGCGAGATTGGTCTCGTCACAATGTCTATTACAAGAAAATACATAATGACAATAAACAGGCAAATAAAAAATCATCAGTAATAATTTACCAGAGTTCTCAGAAGCCTAATAGGGCAGAAACACAAATCAAAATAAACCCCCAATGTTTCGGCACTAACTGGCTGCCTTTTTCAATGGCGTTTGCCGAAACGTTGGGGGGTTATTTTAATTTGTGTTTCTGCCCTATTAGGCTTGTGAGAACTCTGGTAAATTATTACTGATGATTTTGTATTTGCCTGTTTATTGTCATTATGTATTTTCTTGTAATAGACATGTTTAACCAATTATTGTTTTTTTTGGTTCTGGTGTGCATTCTCTTTCATATAATATTGATGTTTATGTTGGTACTAGAGGGAGTACCAGTGAGGAATAGCCCCCAGGCTGATATTGTCTCAGTTATGCTATAGTCTCTTCATACCTTGTTTTTGTATAAATATAAAAAAACACAATCATTAAACCATGTGAGTCAGAGGTGGGGGTACAGCACTGGGTAACCTGCTGATCCCCCTCCCAGTTTTTATAAAGCTTCTTTGCAAAATGTATTTATTCTCGGTTTGGCGGCCCCACATTTACTTACCAAACTCTAGGAACGGGATACTAAAGATATATCACTTTACCCAGTACATGAATGATAACACAGGGATTTACACATGAAAGGAACGGCTCTGTGTTATACAAGCAGCTTGGTACATTGGCTACTGATTCTAGCTGTGTTAGTATTAAATATACCCATGGTAAGGTTCTATCTGTGGGCCCTTCCGCCTCCAATGTCCTACATAGAAATATCACATTTGCACTTTACGTCATTGCATTTTACATTTTATATGAATCACTTGATTGAATGCTAGCCTTTTCTGGCATTCTCTGGCACTAGGTGCAAATTAATTAAGTGATATTATTTTGTGTGTGTGACATATTGGTTCTTAAAGATACACTCCACTACCCCTGCCTCCCGCCCCCCCGTAAAGAAAAAAATAATAATTTAGTATATTTAGCCCCTTGCTAGCATGGGTTATGTATAGCCTGTCATATTCCTGAACACCAGCCATCTGGAACTCTTGCTATGTGTTAGCTACAGAAAAGGAAAAAATGCCTCAGGGGAATCAAGAAGAAAAAAGGCGAAAAGCCCTTTCTCTCAAAGAAAACTCAAGAGGTATACCCACAGAGAATAATGTTAACTCATAAAATCAAAAGTAAGTAGTAAGAAAATGGGTAGATATGAAATAAGGAAGTAAATAAAAGAACAATCTTTATTAAATTCTATCTTGTTCGAGTCATAAAGGCTCCTTATCACCAATATCAAAAACTTATATTAAGTGAAACCAAAAAGTGTAAGTGATTTAAAAGGAAGGAAAAAGGGGGGAGTGGGACAGTGAAGAGGGGCTAGCTCCTATGGTATAATAATTAAATAATATCGTTGGTACGCTGGTCGTAATGGCTTATGTAGGAATAGGTATCTGATGGGCAAAATAGTTGCTAGAGCCTATCAATTATACACTCAGGGTCATTACAGCTTCTCCAATAGGGTAAAAATACTAAACATTCCTTAGGGTATCACATGCCCTTTAACAGGGTGCTATGAAACTCCTTAAAAAAAGCCTCTAGTCAAATCTATAAATCCCTCAGCGAAAGGTAGTATCATTCCCTAAGGTATACAGTGTCCTTTAAACAGATTGCTGTAAAACTTGTGGATAAAGTGTCTAGTAAAATTAGAAATCCCTTAGTGAAACCCTATTAGCTCAAAATAGTACAGGGGAGAGTCTATATCTGATCAGCTTGAAAAGGGAGAGATTTTGCCCTGACTGATATAGTGGTATAAAGATGGAAAGAACGAAATAATATTGGCTAAAGTGCCTAGTAACTTAAAGTCCCTGGTACGATCGTTCAAAACTATCAAGTACCGGCTAGACTACTTGGCTCAAAGAGTTCCCATAGTCTAACTACAAAGCCATACAAAATAAATATCTGAAGGGAGTTGCCCCAAAGTTAAAAAGGAAACGTCAGAACTCGACGTGCGTTTTGGCACTCTCAGGCGCCTTTGTCAAGAGTACAGACTGCCCGATCGGCAAACCGCCTTTTAAAGGCAGAAAAAAGACACACCCCCGATCCGTAGATCAATTAAGTAATGACGTCATCTGGACGGTGGCTCGTCAGGCTCAATCCGCAAAGTAAAAATACACACAATTGCCGTGCAGGTTAGCCAGTAGATAGAGAGTACAAATGTGTTCACTGTATCCAGCAGTGCTGAGACCTTTGTATAGACGGAAATGGATACATGAGATGCAACAAAGTATTTACTCAGATATGTAACAGTATAAGTATGATTACTGGCCAAATATTAATAAAAGGTATCAAAATAAACACATTGTATGAACTAAGTAAGCCCTATAAATCTAACAAGAGAAAAAGGAGGGGAAAACCAAAACTCTAATTATGCAAAGCATAATATAAGCTCAAATAAATTAGGAGTAAACTGAATATCCATATAAGACTAATTTATTAATAAAAAGTTATAATATCCTCATCAAGATAGCACCCTCATGTATGTAGGTATATATAGAGATGAAATTTTATCTTTCTAGAATAGAGAAAGATATTAGCACAGCAAAAGGTCTGTATTGAAGTGTACACTAATTTTGGAAAATTCAAAAAAATAAATAAATTGACAAATAGTAAAACGAATCTTACAATTTTAAATATAAGGGGACAGATATAAATTGTGTAGTTAAAGAAATGAGTTCCGTGGTCTTATAAGAAAGGTGAGAAAGAGAATCCTTCATTGAGTCCCCTAGGGCTCAAAGTTTTTAATCTATGGGACTCAATGAAGGATTCTCTTTCTCACCTTTCTTATAAGACCACGGAACTAATTTCTTTAACTACACAATTTATATCTGTCCCCTTATATTTAAAATTGTAAGATTCGTTTTACTATTTGTCAATTTATTTATTTTTTTGAATTTTCCAAAATTAGTGTACACTTCAATACAGACCTTTTGCTGTGCTAATATCTTTCTCTATTCTAGAAAGATAAAATTTCATCTCTATATATACCTACATACTTTACTTTATTGATGAGGGTGCTATCTTGATGAGGATATTATAACTTATTATTAATAAATTAGTCCTATATGGATATTCAGTTTACTCCTAATTTATTTGAGCTTATATTATGCTTTGCATAATTAGAGTTTTGGTTTTCCCCTCCTTTTGCTCTTGTTAGATTTATAGGGCTTACTTAGTTCATACAATGTGTTTATTTTGATACCTTTTATTAATATTTGGCCAGTAATCATACAAATTACTGCTGCGGAGCTCTGATACACATCACAAATTACTGCTGCGGAGCTCTGATACACTCATACACATCACACATTACTGCTGGGGAGCTCTGATACACTCATACACATCACACATTACTGCTGCGGAGCTCTGATACACTCATACACATCACAAATTACTGCTGGGGAGCTCTGATACACTCATACACATCACACATTACTGCTGGGGAGCTCTGATACACTCATACACATCACAAATTACTGCTGGGGAGCTCTGATACGCTCATACACATCACACATTACTGCTGGGGAGCTCTGATACACTCATACACATCACACATTACTGCTGGGGAGCTGTGATATGCTCATACACATCACAAATCGCCACCGGGGTAACATTTTCAGCGACCGCACACGTGGCGTCTGCCCAAGAAGTTCCATAAGAAAATTAATAGCGATCTGTCAGCCTTTGAAAGTTCCTATATGAAAATAAACAAATGGTTCTCCTAGCTCATAGGGAGTGAATGTTCACCTCATCCTCTAGAATCTTTTCACCGAACAGCGCTGTCCTGGCTTGTCGGAAACAGAAGCAGGGGACAGTACAAAGTTGCCAAGGTTCGCAGGTTAAGGTATCTGTATTTGAAATCCAGGCACTCTACGACCTAGTACTGCTGCCTGCATTTGGTAGACAAGATGGCCACCATTTTCCAGATCATGTCCGTTTGGTTATACCAATGGTGGCCACCCAGAGAGAGCACCTGAGTTTGTGGTTGTTTTGATAATAATGAGCCAGGGGGTGGTCTGTGTTTGGTGGATAAAAGTACTGAACCAAAGAGGAACAACTTGGGCTTGGGGAAAATAGACGGTTCCAGGGCAGTTTGTCACACTTATTAACCCTTAGTAGGGAACCTATGCGGTGGGTAGCAGGTTTTTAGTATAACTCCAATGGACATTACAAAATTAAACCCTAAGCTCTAACTGGGCTGGTAAATTATTCCTTTTATCTCAAAGCAGCAAGGTGAATTGTTAGTGTAGGACTCCCCTAAGAGGTTTTTCTTGAGTGGCAGATGAGCTTACAATCTGATGGCCATTGGAGTGATACTATTCAATCGCTTATTAAGAAGTTGAAAATTCTGGCATCTCTTGATACTAAGCCAAGGTCAGGAAGACAAGGAATGATTTCAGTCACAACTGCCAGAATAATTGTTCAGGATACAAAAAAATAACCCACAGGTAACCTCAGGAGAAATACAGGCTGCTCTGGAAAAAGACTGTGTGTTTATTTCAAGGAGCACAATACGACGATACTTCAACAAAAATGAGCTGTATGGTCGAGTTGCCAGAAAGAAGCCTGGTTACAATATGCCTGACAACACCTCGACACGCCTCACAGCTTCTGGCACACTGTAATTTGTAGTGATGAGACCTAAATAGAGCTTTATGGTCACATCCATAAGCGCTATGTTTGGAGATGGGTCAACAAGGCCTATAGCGAAAAGAATACCATCCCCACTGTGAAGCATGGTGGTGGCTCACTAATGGTTTGAGGGTGTGAGCTCTAAAAGCACGGTGAATCTTGTGAAAACTGATGGCAAGATGAATGCAGCATGTTATCAGAAAATACTGGCAGACAATTTGCATTATTTTGCCACGAAGGCTGCGCATGGGACGCTCTTGGACTTTCCAACATAGACAACCATTACAAAAGACTGGACACTGTCATGGCTGCTAAAGGGAGAAAATAGTCAAATAGTCAAAACCGCCGTTTAGTTAATCCTCCCCTCTCACCATAACACAAGCTGCATTCGTACAAACTCCAATCATACCAACCGCAAGTAGGGGAATACTCCAATCTCCCGAACGGGACCCTTACCCTTAGCGGCTAATAATTCCATCCAGCAGTAGCTATTCATGTAGTAAATTCCCCTCCAATAACGAGACCAAGCTCCGCATTGAGGGTAAAATATGAACTGGGTTTACTGTGGGCTACCCGCCCGTATTTATGCAGGTCTCCCACTTGGTAGACACTCCCCTAGGGGACCAAATGGGAGACTGTAATGGCAGATGGACATACAGCATTTCAGGACACACAGGCACGTAATATTCCCAGCATGCATCATGGTTTCCTCCCCTCTGCCCTGGAGATAATTGAGAAGTAATTCAATTATCTCCCAGGACAGAGGCAAATCGCCATTTTAGATACAACCCAAAAAACACATAAAAATACATAACTTTACAATTGCCGAACATTTCTCATTCGAGTAACACATCGCCAGATAGCCTGGATCTGAGTGCATGTTATTAGCGAATAGCGCTCAGGTCCCATAAGCATAGTTCAATCACCATGGAGTCAAAATCTATTACAGTCTTTCGGTATGCGATTGACTCCATGGGAAGGCTATCTGGGTTAAGTCCATTCGTTCGTTTCAAACTCCCGAACGGCCGGTGTTCATATACTTTTGTCGATTGAGAAGGGAGGTCGGTGGCTTCAGCGGTGTTCGGCGGAAAAAGTGTCCGTTTTCAGTTCCATAGAATCTGGGCCAAACACTGCTGGTCTTTCGCTTGTTTAAAATGGCCGCCGCCTTGTGGTCGACATACGAATGACGACCACCCTGTATTCGGTTTTAATTGAGAGGTGTCTGCAGTTAACCACAATGTTCTAATTGGGATCAAGAGGTTAACCAGCAGCACACTTCTCTTCTGGGTGGCTGTCCGTTCGGTAGTTTTGTTCGGCAGAAAAGTCAATTAAACGAACAGGGGCATACGAACCGGTAATTCCACGAAAAGGCAAAACAGATGAACCAGCAATCCCAGTCTTATACAGATGGATCTGTCACAACCCAGTATTAACTACTAAGGGTATGTAGACTTTTGAAACGGGGTCATTTCATTTTTTCCTTGTTGCAATCTTTTGTGTTACGATTGTGCCATTCTGTTATAATTTACAGTTGAATATGAATCCCATCAGATATGAAAGAAATGTGTTTTTCCTGCTCACTCATGTTTTTTTTTAAAATGGTCCATATATTACCAATACTCCAAGGGTATGCAAACTTTTGAGCACAACTGTATGTATTGGGGCTGATGTGTACCATGGTCATTGCTGCCGCCCAGGAGTAGTGGGGGTTAGAGCTTAATTGTGTATATTTCTATTTACATTAGTGACATGGAGCTCTGTTATTTGGAGTAATAGCACAGTTATTATTAGTTTAATTAAACAGTGTTTGAGGACATAAATGTAGCTCAACATTTTGTTTTTAATGCATTTCACTGGAAACCATCTGCATAGGTTTTAGACATTCCTTTATATCTTCCATTGAGTTTGCTAAGAAAAGAAAAGTCTATCTAACCCAGTAAATTGTGTCTTTTTGGGTTTAAAGAAAAACCATGTAAAAGTAGAAGTTAGTTTTGCTGTTTATGATAGCGCAGTTTTGTTTAGAAATGATAATAAATTGGGAGGCGTGTGAGGAACATTTAACTAGACGTCTTCTTGGAATTGCTGCCAATAAGGAACTGACTGACATTATATTATGTTATGACTCTGAGATAATGAGCACAGACAGCTCTATGATCTGACTTTCGGTATGTAACGAGGCTGTAAATGAAGGACTTTGTCTTTTCTTCTAAACCTTTAGAAACCAGATTTAACAAACAACATTCAGTCATGGACGATATACCTCGGCTGAGACGTAACATTCAAAGCTTTGACTTCCATCACTGTAGTCTAGGATCCCAGGGGTTTAATCGAGTGCTCCTTCAGCTTTTTGGGTTTGCAGGTCATGGAAAGTCCTCCTTTATAAACAGCTGTAAGTATGTCTGGGATGATGGAGAGTTTTGGAACATAGCAAAGGCTGGAAGAGATGACGGTGCTCGGACCACGGAAAGAATATCATATGAACTGACAAAAACCATCACTCTGGTGGACAATCGTGGCTGTTTCAAAATGGATGATTACGAGAAGGGAGAAATCTTTGCTCAACTTGGTAAGTGTCAGTAATCATGGAGATTTAGTTTAGGTGATACATAGAGGATGCAAGGAGGTAAATGATCTCCTATTGAGTGTATTGAGATGTCTGTTAGCACAGTAATAGAGGAGTGGGGCAGCAGGCAGGGATTGTACAGGACTGTGATGGATGGCCTGATCCCACAAGCTCACTGCACCATTTTTGTGACTGTTTTCCATGTAAATAGGTATTTCTGTATTACAGGCGGCTCTGTATTGTGTACCTGTATTATAAATAAAGCAGTATGTGTGTCTGTATATGCAGCTGTGGGTCAACAGAGGGGCAGGACAACAGGTGAAAATGTATTTTGTGGGCTAACCAAGTTAAATGCTGCACTGTGAGTGACCACCTGCTGTGGGAGCCAGTAAGTCTATCTACTACAGCAACGGGACAGTGTGTCCAATCAAGATAACCTTTTGTTTGTGTATTGGCAGAAGAGGGGGGCTGGGGAGGAGGGGGGTGTTAGGGGTTAGAGGGAGTGGACTAGTGTAAGGAATCACTTTGTATCCAGTTATTTCCTGTGTGTTCTATTTGCCCTGTTCTGTATTCCCATTGGTGAAAGTTTAATTTACTGTATGTTGTGATCTAGCTGGAGCTGTGTACAATAAACTGAGTCTGAGTTCTAGGTGATCCAAGGAAGAAGCTGGTTTGTCTCTGCCTTGAGGTCTCCCAAGATATGGCTATTCATTGTCCTCTATAGAGTAATTACTAATAAGAGTATTGTCAGAAGACTGGATGGATAGAATATCATATAGTAACCAGATATCAGCTCAGTATGTCCTGCGTCCCCTACCAAAGAGGAGTCCTAGCATTTAGTGGAGCAGTTTAGTGCTGAGAGTTATGTAAAAAGAAACCCATGGACGATATATTAAGGTCGTATCATCACACGGACCTGTGCTAGCCAGCCCCCTAGATTTGTGTTTGGGTTGTGTCTCCTGATCTCAATACTCACCATGGCAGGACTGGCCCCCTGGGATCCCGTGACCTGGGTTCAGTGAGTTTCACATGAAGGAAAGGGCATTTATTTATCCTTAACCTTCTGGCCTAAAGTTTCCAGCCCTCCTCTGGACATCAGGATCTCTCTGTCTGTGTGATAGACTTTACCTGGCCACAGCCAATCTTCCAAAGGGTTGTACATTGCTGAGAACAGACAATTCAGTACAATTCCTGATCTGTTCTCTGTCATTTTTTGAATAATGAGATATATTCACAAAAAGTGCAGTTTCCTTGTCAATACTATGCTATTCTATCATCCTCACTGTTTGTGCTTCCTGCCCCCAGGAGTGGGCTATGGGTGGGAGCTCTAATATGATAAAAGCTGGGGGACATGTGCATCCCCACAACCTTGGGCTCTATCAGGGTACCGACTGATTATGCAAATTTTAGACATTTTAATATAGTCAAATATAGCATAAATGCAAACTTGCACCTTTGGGTGCCTTCAAGCCCAGATTTGAATAATTTCACGTTTGTGCCTAAATCGTATGTATGTAATAGAAATCAGACATATTGTGCAGTGTATGAGAATGGAAATGGACTTGGGACACCACACCTACCACATTCACATTTCACAGAGCCACACACTTGGCTCTAGGCATCAGTGTATCAATGTATTGCGAAACCACATTAGAACCTCACCAGATCAACAATTTAAATTTATTAAAACAATAAACTGTGTAAAAAACAATACCAGAATATTGACCTCTAATCTCTAGCCCATCTCTCACATGGAACAAATGTCATTGGGCTTCAAAATGCGCATGGAATTAAATAGGCTTGCTGAAGTGTTTATGGCTCAAGAACCGCGTCTGTCCAGCGTTTCACCTTGAAATGCTGCCAATCAAAAAATTACTATATTCTATTAATTAATTATTAATTATGCTATGTTTGTTTTATCTGGCAGCTAATTTACTTCCAGTGGATGATCCTGTTGAATGGACAAAGGGATTGGGACTTATGGACCAGATATTTGAGGCAGAATATCGAATAAATACCTCTGACTTTATCGTACCTATATTTATCTACAGGTAAATTAATGACATGCTTCACCACAAGTAGAAAAACTATTGATTAATGAGGGTGCATTATGTCTTCTTTCCAATGCTAGATATGTGTTGGTAAAAGGTAAAAAATAAGTAACTAAATGCAGTACAGACAGGAAAAAAGTCATATGGCCAGAATTCAGAAAAAAAGGATTGGGGAGAGAAAACATGGAGAAGGAGTGAAACTCATTAAGGGAAATAGGAGCTAGAGGTGAGAACAGAGGACATGAGCAGGTCTTTGCAGAGCGAATGGGGCAGATGGAATATATATATATTTAGTTGTGAGGATGTGGGGGGGATTGATGGGAACTTTAATGTGTTAATACTATAGTATGGCGGTGTAGCCAACTCTGATGTTATTACATTACATGATATCGTTTATTAATAATCAAGTTGTAAAAAAAAAATGAAGGCATGATTGCCTTTATAACAGTCAGTCTTGTGTTTCCTGTTTAGTGTGACGAAATCCATAGCATCTGCTGAGATAAATGGACTACGAGAGTTGCTCACAGTGGCCAGAGATCTGACAGGTAAACCTCCGTTTCCAAAACAAGTATGTAAAGTATTGTAAGCACACACTACCAACATAGTATTCTCTTATTTAAGACGAAGATAGAAGAAAAAGAAGAAAACATTTTCCATAAATATTCACCAGCATGAGTCAAAATGTTTTGGTCTACCTTTGAGTGTAATGAAAGTTGGGAGTTTTTTAGGTAATTCTTATATTTTTCTTTGTGTATGTATGAGTGTGTGTACGTATGTATGAGTATGTGTGTGTATGAGTGTGCGTGTATGTATGTGTGTGTATGAGTGTGTGTGTGTGTGCATGTTTGTGTGTGTTCATGTATGAGTGTGTGTGTGTGTATGATTGTGTGTGTGTGTATGTATGTGTGTGTATATGAGTGTGCGTGTGTGCATTTGTGTGTGCATTTGTGTGTGCATGTATGAGTGTGTGTGTGTGTGTCTGAGTGTGTGTGTATGTATGTGTATGTATGATTGTGTATTTGTGTGTGAGAGAGTGTATGTATGAATGTGTGTGTATGTATGTATGATTGTGTGTGTTTGTTTGCATGAGTGTGTGTTTGTATGAGTGTGTGTGTCAGAGTGTGCATCTGTGTGTGTGTATATATGTCAGTGTGTGTCTGTGTGTGCACAGACATCTGTGTGTTAGGATTTGCATTTGTATACATAGGCATGCGCACGGGGTGTGCCGGAGAGTGTGGCTCTTGCCAGCAGCTCCGACGTGTTCCTCTTGCGAGGTTGGAGCGTTGCCGTGGTTACTGCGGCAATGCTCAGATCTCGCGGGAGTGAACTCTAGCCCCACAGGGAGCTAGAGTTCATTCTCCACTGGACCACCAGGGAAGGCACCAGCACAGTCCCCCCTCCCTACATAAGGTAAGAAGGGAGGGGGGATATTAACTAAATGGCCCCCACACATTACACACACACGTACATCACCCTTACACACACAGCACACACACACACACTAACAACACCCTTACACACACAGCACCCTCACACATAGACGCACACACACCAACAGCACCCTCACACTAACAACACCCTTACACACACAGCACCCTCACACATACACACACACAGCACACACTAACAGCACCCTCACACATGCAGCACCCTTACACACACAGCACCCTCACACACACAGCACCCTTACACACACACAGCACACACTAACAATACCCTTACACACACACACTAACAGCACCCTCACACTAACAACACCCTTACACACACAGCACCCTCACACATACACACACACAGCACACACTAACAGCACCCTTACACACAGCACCTTCACACACACACTGCACCCTTACACAAAGCACACACTAACAGCACCCTTACACACACAGCACCCTTACACACACAGCACCCTCACACACACAGCACCCTCACACACGCAGCACCCTTACACACACAGCGCCTGCACACACATTGCCTGCACACACAGCGCCTGCACACACACACAGCGCCTTCCCACACACAGCACCTTTACACACAGCACCTACACACACACACAGCACCCTCACACATACAGCAGGGTGCACGCCCTTATACAATAGGCTGCGCATGCCTATGTCTGTATATGTGCATCTATGTGTCATTTTGTGTGTTTTTATGTCAGTGTGTGCATCTGTATCATGGTGTGTGCATGTATCAATATTTGTGTGTGTGTCAGGGTGCATGTGTGTGTATATGTTGGTATATGCATGTGTTAAGGTATGTGTCGGTCTGTATCTATGTATGTGTATGTGTCGCTGTCTGTATGAATTTGTGTGTATGTACCTTTGTAAGTATGTAAGTATGTATGTGGTACTGTATGTGCATACATCCAAACAGTCATACACCAGCACAACATACTAAAATACTCCTGCAATCTACCTACAAACACACCCCTGCATTCAAACTCCAAAAGGATATACAAACACACGGCGCATTTAAAAGTGAACATTACATTCAGACACACCCCTGTATGAAACACAATACATGTATGCAAGCACCCCTTCAAACACCAACACTGTACGTTACACTATAGCGCCAGTAAATGCGGCAGCGCTGTACAGATATACAACCTAGAAATTTTGACTTGGGACGCCTTGGAAAAATACTGAAATATTAAGGGCGCTTTGAACCTAAAAAGTTTGTGAGCCACTGGTATACACTAAACATTAAGTAACATTAAGTAAAAATGTCAATACAATCTAATTTCAATCCAGGTTGTAACGCTACTTTAAGTGGAAGTGGGTGAATATTTATGTACGGCGGTGTAATAGCTGTAATATTTATTTTTTCAGCTGTGTGCGGTAAATGCACGTCCAGAACACTTTACATAATTATCCATCAATCTCCCTCTACCTCACTTCCTATGCTCATGGGTGACTGCATGTGTCAGAGAGTATTGGTGATGAGAGTGAATGAGTAAATATGAGTGTGTCCATTCCTCGAATACATGTATGGACATATTTAGCTGCAGGAATACTAAGGAAGCACTATGGAGGACATAGTTAACCATTATTAGATTATATATTGTTGTTTTGGTTGGTGGAATTGTAGTGAACTCCAGGTAGCCCCACTGGTTACCTCTGCTAATTCCCTTCCTTCAGCTGCTCAGGAACATCTTAAAGTATAAACATACCCATTTCCCCCAGTAACTGGACGAGACGAAGCTCTGGAGGTACAACTCTAACTGACTCTGTTTATTTTGTCACACATGGTTTTACAGACACAGACCTCTACATGGGGTCCCCAACACAATACACAATACACAATACACAATCCCAAGAATCTGATAGGAGGATAGACGAGGGACAAGGCCAGCCAGTTCAAACTGGACTGGCAGCGTCCCTGTGGCAACGCCCTGCTAGGACAGGAAAAGACAGGGGGAGGGGGAGAGGCACAGACAAGCAATACATTCCACTTTTATACTTTACAGGGCTGCTGCTCCCCTCTCCCCCCCTTTGTTGAACCACAGTTGAATAAATAGGCACATGTAAAACAGTCACAAAAATGGTGCTGCAAACTTGTGGCCCGTGGCAAACAAATCACACCATCCATTACATATCTCCACCCATAGAAATAGACAGCGGGCACATGGGGATATGGCACTCAGTGACTGCATTCCATCACAGGAATCTTCCCAGAGAAGTAGCTGCTTCCACTCAGTGTTCTCCCCCGCAGTTCCCCAGCTAACACCTAATCTGAAACCAGGTTCTGAGCAATGAGCAGTTACTTTGCCACCTTGAACCCATTGCAGTATTATTGTGTTACCCAGGATCCCAGCAGTGAGCCCCACACTGAGTGTTACACCATCCAGCACAAAGCAAGTACACTGACAGATATCACCTGTTACCATACCGCGGAAGCAGGACAGAGCGAGTGCTATAATACCCTTCAATCCAAATTACTATAGACCAGCTTCCTCTCTGTCTTTACCCATAATACTGCATTGGAGGAGGGTGTTGTTCGTATAAACCATTTATATGATAGTGTGTCCACTATTTGTGACACTGTGTGTTAGTGTGACTGTATATATGTTTGTGTTTGTATGTGTCTGTATGTGAGTGTGTGTCAGTAAGCAAAATTGGGCAGACTAGATGGGTTCTTATCTGCCGAATGGTTCTTATCTGCCGTCACATTCTATGTTTCTATGTTCCTAAGCAGAGTAAACCCTTACCATGCTAAGAGAGTCCAACCCTTTTCTAACAGTTTGACTGTTTTTGGCCTCAGTTTTACATGTATTTTGTCAGTGCTGTGTGTACTGTTTACATTTCAATGTAAAATGTTCTCCGTGTTTCTCCATGTTCTCCACAGGAATATTTCCACTCGTTGTTCTAACCCATCAAACACACGGGAATGTGGCCAAGGCCCAGAGCCTTTTCAGGGATATGGGGGTGGAACGGATCTTTACAATAGAGAATTATACCCCAGAGGATCACATAAAGACACGAGGAAGACATGAAGAAGTCCTGAATATCTTAAATGAGGTCATTAAAGATGTCAAATTCCAAATGAGAGATCAGCAAAATCCAGTGATGAAACTGAGAGAGCGGATGCAATACATGTTCAAATATGTCTGTGAACGTGAATTAAGAATATGGGAAGAGGTAAAGGAATTAGAGAAAGCGATGCAGCTAAACCTGATGGCCATGACATTGAAGAAAACCAGGACAGAATCTGAAATGGAACGAGAACAGGATGAAATAAGACACGAACAAGAAAAGAGACGCCTAAAAGAGGAAATGGAAAAAGAAAATGAGAAGGAAAGACAGTTACTGGAAATGGAGATGAAGAAACTTCAGGAGGAGCTGGAGAGGTTTGACCTGAAATACAAGAATAAAAAACCAAACAAACAAAAGAAAGAGCCGTGTGCGTTACAGTGACGCTGCCCGGGGAAACCTGTAATGGGGGGGCCAGGAAACACACCCCACGATTTATATCTCATGTAATGGACACTCGCTGACACTGTACACAATGGTTCCATTCATCTTTGAGTGCAGTTTGCAGAATTTACTAGAAAGATAACATTTATTAAACATTGGAAAAATCCCACAGATTAATAACTGAAGCTATACACCGCCCTTCAGCCAGTGCATGTTGTTAAATATAAAAAAAATCAATATTATATGAAAGAGAATGCACACCAGAACCAAAAAATATATATTGAATTATTTAATGAACCAACAATTGGTTAAACATGTCTATTACAAGAAAATACATAATGACAATAAACTGGCAAATAAAAAATCATCAGTAATAATTTACCAGAGTTCTCACAAGCCTAATAGGGCAGAAACACAAATTAAAATAACCCCCTTTATTTGAGCTTATATTATGCTTTGCATAATTAGAGTTTTGGTTTTCCCCTCCTTTTTCTCTTGTTAGATTTATAGGGCTTACTTAGTTCATACAATGTGTTTATTTTGATACCTTTTATTAATATTTGGCCAGTAATCATACAAATTACTGCTGCGGAGCTCTGATACACTCATAAACATCACAAATTACTGCTGGGGAGCTCTGATACACTCACACACATCACACATTACTGCTCGGGAGCTCTGATACACTCATACACATCACAAATTACTGCTGGGGAGCTCTGATACACTCATAAACATCACAAATTACTGCTGCGGAGCTCTGATACACTCATACACATCACACATTACTGCTGGGGAGCTCTGATACACTCATACACATCACACATTACTGCTGGGGAGCTCTGATACACTCATACACATCACACATTACTGCTGGGGAGCTCTGATACACTCATACACATCACACATTACTGTCGGGGAGCTCTGATACACTCATACACACTACAAATTACTGCTGCGGAGCTCTGATACACTCATACACATCACACATTACTGTCGGGGAGCTCTGATACACTCATACACACCACAAATTACTGCTGTGGAGCTCTGATACACTCATACACATCACACATTACTGCTGGGGAGCTCTGATACACTCATACACATCACAAATTACTGCTGGGGAACTCTGCATCGCCACCGGGGTACCATTTTCAGCGACCGCACACGTGGCGTCTGCCCAAAAAGTTCCATAAGAAAAGTAATAGTGATCTGTCAGCCTTTGAAAGTTCCTATATGAAAATAAACAAATGGTTCTCCTAGCTCATAGGGAGTAAATGTTCACCTCATCCTCTAGAATCTTTTCACCGAACAACGCTGTCCTGGCTTGTCGGAAACAGAAGCAGGGGACAGTACAAAGTTGCCAAGGTTCGCAGGTTAAGGTATCTGTATTTGAAATCCAGGCACTCTACGACCTAGTACTGCTGCCTGCATTTGGGAGACAAGATGGCCACCATTTTCATGATCATGTCCGTTTGGTTATACCAATGGTGGCCACCCAGAGAGAGCACCTGAGTTTGTGGTAGTTTTGATAATAATGAGCCAGGGAGTGGTCTGTGTTTGGTGGATAAAAGTACTGAACCAAAGAGGAACAACTTGGGCTTGGGGAAAATAGACGGTTCCAGGGCAGTTTGTCACACTTATTAACCCTTAGTAGGGAACCTATGGGGTGGGTAGCAGGTTTTTAGTATAACTCCAATGGACATTACAAAATTAAACCCTAAGCTCTAACTGGGCTGGTAAATTATTCCTTTTATCTCAAAGCAGCAAGGTGAATTGTTAGTGTAGGACTCCCGTAAGAGGTTTTTCTTGAGTGGCAGATGAGCTTACTGTGACGAAATGCCTTTTGTCCCTGGATTGTTAGGTGACAAGCTGCCCTTTGCCCCCGGCTTTTGGAGGAGCCTGATTGCCAGCCTCCTTCCTTATGACTATGGCCCTGGGGTGTATTGCCATTTAAAAAAGACTATTTGGGGCTTATTGGCTTCTAAAGACAGTTTCTTCCCATTGGAATCCATGGGAAGGGGTGTTTCTTCCCCTACCCCGTTTCCTGTCTATTGTTCACCTAGATTGGGCGCTCAGATCCGAGCTATCTGGGGATAGGTTAAATGTGGGGGTTCTGTGTAATAAAATAAGAATTATGTATTTTTATGTACTTTTACGTATTTTGCTGTTAGTGTTTAAATGTAGATATTTTCTGTACCTGGAGATAATTGAGTTTACTGCAGTGCCTTAAGCCAATTATCTCCAGGAGGGAGAGGAGGGATTTCATTGTGTATGTGAGAGTGTTATCATGTTAATTAGTGTTCCCATTGGTTTGTGTCCCTTTTGTCACAGTTTACCACCAGGTCCAGGGGTGTGCCTCTGACCTGAAAACTTGTATATAAGGAGTAATAAACGCTCATTGGAGTCAGATCATCTTGTACCTTCATGAAGTTTCGGCTCATGTTTGGGGGATTGGAGAAACTACACTCTGGGGATTGCTATAATCACTATACTCCCCAGGGTATAATCACTAAGCTCTGCTAAGAGCTTGTTCCTGTTCCTGCTCTCTGGAATTGGGAGAGAGGTCGACCTGCTGGAAGCTGGACCCTGGTCCTGGGTCCAGAGTGGGTGGAGACGGCGAGACCCCAACCAAGCTGCGGCGGTTCGTGGGGTCTGCAGTGGTTATGGTGTCAGGCAGAGTGCTTGGAGTCCTCGGAAAGCACTAGGAGCATCCGTCGGCGGAAGGTACCCGGTCGGGGTGCCAGCGGTTCCGTCACACTTACAATCTGATGGCCATTGGAGTGATACTATTCAATCACTTATTAAGAAGTTGAAAATTCTGGCATCTCTTGATACCAAGCCAAGGTCAGGAAGACAAGGAATGATTTCAGTCACAACTGCCAGAATAATTGTTCAGGATACAAAAAAATAACCCACAGGAAATACAGGCTGCTCTGGAAAAAGACTGTGTGGTTATTTCAAGGAGCACAATACGACGATACTTCAACAAAAATGAGCTGTATGGTCGAGTTGCCAGAAAGAAGCCTGGTTACAATATGCCTGACAACACCTTCACATGCCTCACAGCTTCTGGCACACTGTAATTTGTAGTGATGAGACCTAAATAGAGCTTTATGGTCACATCCATAAGCGCTATGTTTGGAGAAGGGTCAACAAGGCCTATAGTGAAAAGAATACCATCCCCACTGTGAAGCATGGTGGTGGCTCACTAATGGTTTGAGGGTGTGAGCTCTAAAGGCACGGGGAATCTTCTGAAAACTGATGGCAAGATGAATGCAGCATGTTATCAGAAAATACTGGCAGACAATTTTTATTATTTTGCCACGAAGGCTGTGCATGGGAAGCTCTTGGACTTTCCAGCATGACAATTACCCTAAGCACAAGGCCAAGTTGGCCCTCTAGTGATTACAGCAGAAAAAGGTGAAGGTTCTGGAGTGGCCATCACAATCTCCTGACCTTAATCGAGCCATTCTGGGGAGATCTCAAACGTTCGGTTCATGCAAGACGACCAAAGACTTTGCATGACCTGGAGGCATTTTGCCAAGACGAATGGGCAGCCATACGACCTGCAATAATTAGGGGCCTCATAGACAACCATTACAAAAGACTGGACACTGTCATGGCTGCTAAAGGGAGCAAATAGTCAAATAGTCAAAACCGCAGTTTAGTTAATCCTCCCCTCTCACCATAACACAAGCTGCATTCGTACCAACTCCAATCATACGAACCGCAAGTAGGGGAATACTCCAATCTCCCGAACGGAACCCTTACCCTTAGCGGCTAATAATTCCATCCAGCAGTCGCTATTCGTGTAGTTAATTCCCCTCCAATAACGAGACCATTGAGGGTAAAACATGAACTGGGTTTACTGTGGGCTACCCGCCCGTATTTATGCAGGTCTCCCACTTGGTAGACACTCCCCTAGGGGACCAAATGGGAGACTGTAATGGCAGATGGACATACAGCATTTCAGGACACACAGGCACGTAATATTCCCAGCATGCATCATGGTTTCCTCCCCTCTGCCCTGGAGATAATTGAGAAGTAATTCAATTATCTCCCAGGACAGAGGCAAATCGCCATTTTAGATACAAGCCAAAAAACACATAAAAATACATAACTTTACAATTGCCGAACATTTCTCATTCGAGTAACACATCGCCAGATAGCCTGGATCTGAGTGCATGTTATTAGCGAATAGCGCTCAGGTCCCATAAGCATAGTTCAATCACCATGGAGTCAAAATCTATTACAGTCTTTCGGTATGCGATTGACTCCATGGGAAGGCTATCTGGGTCAAGTCCATTCGTGCGTTTCAAACTCCCGAACGGCCGGTGTTCATATACTTTTGTCGATTGAGAAGGGAGGTCGGTGGCTTCAGCGGTGTTCGGCGGAAAAAGTGTCCGTTTTCAGTTCCATAGAATCTTGGCCAAACACTGCTGGTCTTTCGCTTGTTTAAAATGGCCGCCGCCTTGTGGTCGACATACGAATGACGACCACCCTGTATTCGGTTTTAATTGAGAGGTGTCTGCAGTTAACCACAATGTTCTAATTGGGATCAAGAGGTTAACCAGCAGCACACTTCTCTTCTGGGTGGCTGTCCGTTCGGTAGTTTTGTTCGGCAGAAAAGTCAATTAAACGAACAGGGGCATACGAACAGGTAATTCTACGAAAAGGCAAAACAGACGAACCAGCAATCCCTGTCACAACACAGTATTAACTACTAAGGGTATGTAGACTTTTGAAACGGGGTAATTTCATTTTTTCCTTGTTGCAATCTTTTGTGTTACGATTGTGCCATTCTGTTATAATTTACAGTTGAATATGAATCCCATCAGATATGAAAGAAATGTGTTTTTCCTGCTCACTCATGTTTTTTTTTGTAAATGGTCCATATATTACCAATACTCCAAGGGTATGCAAACTTTTGAGCACAACTGTATGTATTGGGGCTGATGTGTACCATGGTCATTGCTGCCGCCCAGGAGTAGTGGGGGTTAGAGCTTAATTGTGTATATTTCTATTTACATTAGTGACATGGAGCTCTGTTATTTGGAGTAATGGCACAGTTATTATTAGTTTAATGAACCCCTTAAGGACCAAACTTCTGGAATAAAATGGAATCATGACATGTCACACAGGGGTTAAACAGTGTTTGAGAACGTAAATGTAGCTCAACATTTTGTTTTTAATGCATTTCACTGGAAACCATCTGCAAAGGTTTTAGACATTCCTTTATATCTTCCATTGAGTTTGCTAAGAAAAGAAAAGTCTATCTAACCCAGTAAATTGTGTCTTTTTGGGTTTAAATAAAAACCATGTAAAAGTAGAAGTTAGTTTTGCTGTTTATGATAGCGCAGTTTTGTTTAGAAATGATAATAAATTGGGAGGCGTGTGAGGAACATTTAACTAGACGTCTTCTTGGAATTGCTGCCAATAAGGAACTGACTGACATTATATTATGTTATGACTCTGAGATAATGAGCACAGACAGCTCTATGATCTGACTTTCGGTATGTAACGAGGCTGTAAATGAAGGACTTTGTCTTTTCTTCTAAACCTTTAGAAACCAGATTTAACAAACATCATTCAGACATGGACGATATACCTCAGCTGAGACGTAACATTCAAAGCTTTGACTTCCATCACTGTAGTCTAGGATCCCAGGGGTTTAATCGAGTGCTCCTTCAGCTTTTTGGGTTTGCAGGTCATGGAAAGTCCTCCTTTATAAACAGCTGTAAGTATGTCTGGGATGATGGAGAGTTTTGGAACATAGCAAATGCTGGAAGAGATGACGGTGCTCGGACCACGGAAAGAATATCATATGAACTGACAAAAACCATCACTCTGGTGGACAATCGTGGCTGTTTCAAAATGGATGATTACGAGAAGGGAGAAATCTTTGCTCAACTTGGTAAGTGTCAGTAATCATGGAGATTTAGTTTAGGTGATACATAGAGGATGCAAGGGGGTAAATTATCTCCTATTGAGTGTATTGAGATGTCTGTTAGCACAGTAATAGAGGAGTGGGGCAGCAGGCAGGGATTGTACAGGACTGGGATGGATGGCCTGATCCCACAAGCTCACTGCACCATTTTTGTGACTGTTTTCCATGTAAATAGGTATTTCTGTATTACAGGCGGCTCTGTATTGTGTACCTGTATTATAAATAAAGCAATATGTGTGTCTGTATATGCAGCTGTGGGTCAACAGAGGGGCAGGACAACAGGTGAAAATGTATTTTGTGGGCTAACCAAGTTAAATGCTGCATTGTGAGTGACCACCTGCTGTGGGAGCCAGTAAGTCTATCTACTACAGCAACGGGACAGTGGGTCCAATCAAGATAACCTTTTGTTTGTGTATTGGCAGAAGAGGGGGGCTGGGGGGAGGGGGGTGTTAGGGGTTAGAGGGAGTGGACTAGTGTAAGGAATCACTTTGTATCCAGTTATTTCCTGTGTGTTCTATTTGCCCTGTTCTGTATTCCCATTGGTGAAAGTTTAATTTACTGTATGTTGTGATCTAGCTGGAGCTGTGTACAATAAACTGAGTCTGAGTTCTAGGTGATGCCAAGAAAGAAGCTGGTTTGTCTCTGCCTTGAGGTCTCCCAAGATACGGCTATTCATTGTCCTCTATAGAGTAATTACTAATAAGAGTATTGTCAGAAGACTGGATGGAAAGGATATCATATAGTAACCAGATATCTGCTCAGTATGTCCTGCGTCCCCTACCAAAGAGGAGTCCTAGCATTTAGTGGAGCAGTTTAGTGCTGAGAGTTATGTAAAAAGAAACCCACAGACGATATATTAAGGTCGTATCATCACACGGACCTGTGCTAGCCAGCCCCCTAGATTTGTGTTTGGGTTGTGTCTCCTGATCTCAATACTCACCATGGCAGGACTGGCCCCCTGAGATCCCGTGACCTGGGCATTCACTTATCCTTAACCTTCTGGCCTAAAGTTTCCAGCCCTCCTCTGGACATCAGGATCTCTCTGTCTGAGTGATAGACTGTACCTGCCCACAGCCAATCTTCCAAAAGGTTGTACATTGCTGAGAACAGAAAATTCAGTACAATTCCTGATCTGTTCTCTGTCATTTCTTCAATAAAGAGATATATTCACAAAAAGTGCAGTTTCCTTGTCAATACTATGCTATTCTATCATCCTCACTGTTTGTGCTTCCTGCCCCCTGGAGTGGGCTATGGGTGGGAGCTCCAATATGATAAAAGGTGGGGGGAGGGGACATGTACATCCCCACAACCTTGGGCTGTATCAGAGTACCGACTGTAACTCCAGATGGTGGCCCTGTTACTACTCATCTGGTCTACTTTTATAAATGACTGCATATCTTAGCCACATTCAGCTTTGCAATTATAGGAATATGTCATGATGTTTGCGGAGACCTAGATGAGCCATGAATCAACTACTGGATTCCATATTTTTCAATATAAAATAAGGTGATGTTGCACTTACTACAGATTATTATTATAACAAATGTCAAGGGTTTACTTGAAGTACACAATCATCAGGGGGACAAATATTACCGTAAAAAGTAAATCGAATATGTGAGTATATATTCGATTTTTATGACAAATGTGTAGGACAAAAGAATGAAAAGAAAACAAGTAACAGATCTGATGAGTATATGTTGTATGTATTTTGTTACACTCACAGCCCAGAAAGCTTTGTGTACAGTGTTCGGTTCTCTTATGCACCGTTTTCTTTGAGCGGAACTGTTCGGTTCGGTGTGGTGCGCTATTTTGAGTGTTTCCATTATGAAAGTGACGCGTACAACCGCACCGAACCGCACCATTCCTGGGCCCCCTTCAGATGAAGGTCCATAAGAAATGGTACGGTACGCTTAGGGCGGAGCTACTAGCGTCACACTATCCAATCCACTGATTAGCGGACATGAAAACTTCAATGCCCCTGACAAATGACACGCTAGGCATTTGGTCTAAACCCTGCATGCCCCCTGGCAGTCGGTCTTGCAGTGGAAACGCTCACCTAAATAGGCTGGACCATTTTAACCCTTCCAAACTGTACCGACCCGAACCGTTCCGCTCAGTGGAAACGAGGCATTACTCTACTTCCCAAACATTGCTTGCAACATGTAATGTAAGACAAAATAGGAAGAACATAAGATTATGCAAATTTTAGACATTTTAATATAGTCAAATATAGCATAAATGCAAACTTTCACCTTTGGGTGCCTTCAAGCCCAGATTTGAATAATTTCATGTTTGTGCCTAATTGTATATATGCAATAGAAATCAGACATATTGTGCAGTGTATGAGAATGGAAATGGACTTGGGACACCACACCTACCACATTCACATTTCACAGAGCCACACACTTGGCTCTAGGCATCAGTGTATCAATGTATTACGAAACCACATTATAACTTCACCAGATCAACAGTAGAAAATAAGGCAGAAGACTCCCTGATGTGGATGTATGCTTGATTAAATTTATTAAAACAATAAACTGTGTAAAAAACAATACCAGAATATTGACCTCTAATCTCTAGCCCATCTCTCACATGGAACAAATGTGATTGGGCTACAAAATGCGCATGGAATGAAATAGGCTTGCTGAAGTGTTTATGGTGCAAGAACCGCGTCTGTCCAGCGTTTCACCTTGAAATGCTGCCAATAAAAAAATTACTATATTCTATTAATTAATTATTAATTATGCTATGTTTATTTTATCCGGCAGCTAATTTACTTCCAGTGGATGATCCTGTCGAATGGAACAAGGGATTGGGACTTATGGACCGGATATTTGAGGCAGAATATCGAATAAATACCTCTGACTTTATCGTTCCTATATTTATCTACAGGTAAATGAATGACATGCTTCACCACAAGTAGAAAAACTCTTAGAAAATATTGAATTAATGAGGGTGCATTATGTCTTCTTTCCAAGGCTAGATATGTGTTGGTAAAAGGTAAAAAATAAGTAACTAAATGCAGTACAGACAGGAAAAAAGTCATATGGCCAGAATTCAGAAAAAAAGGATTGGGGAGAGAAAACATGGAGAAGGAGTGAAACTCATTAAGGGAAATTGGAGCTAGAGGTGAGAACAGAGGACATGAGCAGGTCTTTGCAGAGCGAATGGGGCAGATGGAATATATATATATTTAGTTGTGAGGATGTGGGATTGATGGGAACTTTAATGTGTTAATACTATAGTATGGCGGTGTAGCCAACTCTGATGTTATTACATTACATGATATCGTTTATTAATAATCAAGTTGTAAAAAAAAACTGAAGGCATGATTGCCTTTATAACAGTCAGTCTTGTGTTTCCTGTTTAGTGTGACGAAATCCATAGCATCTGCTGAGATAAATGGACTACGAGAGTTGCTCACAGTGGCCAGAGATCTGACAGGTAAACCTCCGTTTCCAAAACAAGTATATAAAGTATTGTAAGCACACACTACCAACATAGTATTCTCTTATTTAAGACGAAGATAGAAGAAAAAGAAGAAAACATTTTCCATAAATATTCACCAGCATGAGTCAAAATGTATTGGTCCACCTTTGAGTGTAATGAAAGTTGGGTGTTTTTTAGGTAATTCTGTACCTGCTATTAGAACATCTGGATTCTTCTCGGGAGAATTACTAAACCTGTCAGGTTGGGTGCGAGATGGGGGCCAGTGATGACAAGCAATTCTCAAGTCTTTTTACCAATTCTCAATTAAATTGAGGTCAGGATTTTCTCTATTCCATTCTAAGGATTTGGATTCTTGGTTTCAACCCACTCCAGTGCCGCTGATTCTCCACCCCAGTTTCCTGTGTTCTGCAAACAGGGTTTCCTCTAGAATTGCTTTAAGATAGGTTCCATCCAACTTGCCCTCAGTGCTGGTTAGTTTTTCTACATTTTCTTTGAGAAGCATTTTGGTAGAACCTTCCCCAAAACATAACAATCCTTTCACCACGCTTCCTTGTGACAATGATATTTTCAGGATAATTACTAGTGCTGGCTATATGGCATACGTAGGGTTCGTTTCAATGCTTATATCAATCACGTAGCAACAAGTAGGCTATTGCTAAAATAGAAGTTGCTTTATTTAGGGATTACTGGCTGCTTCCCTGCTACAAAAAAATAAATAAATATATATATATATCAACTGGTAATTATTGGCTGCCAAAAGTTGTATCATCTCCCATTGAGATTAATAGTATACACCAGCGGTTACCAAACTGTGTGCAGACAGGTGTGCCACGGAATGTTTCCCCTGTGCTCTGATTATAGCACCGGGGAAACATAACTGCTGAACAAGTGCCCAGTCGGGTGCCGTAGTCCTTTAAGAACACGACTGGGCCTGTCACTTCCTCCCAGCATCATGCGGGAGGGAGAGGAAGCAGCTGTAGGAAGTGAAGCACAAAGAGATCCAGACCCCTCGCTCCCACCAGCAGCAGCAGGATTCCAAGCCACCCTCCTGGACACACAAGCTAACAGGAGGGTGACTGGAGATATAAAAAATATCACTTGTGTGTACGAGTTTGTGTATGCATGAGTGTGTGTGTGTATGTATGAGTGTGTGTATGTATGAGTGTGTACGTATGTATGAGTATGTGTGTGTATGAGTGTGTACGTATGTATGTGTGTGTATATGAGTGTGCGTGTGTGCATGTGTGTGTGTGCATGTATAAATGCACGTCCACAACACTTTACATAATTATCCATCAATCTCCCTCTACCTCGCTTCCTATGCTCATGGGTGACTGCATGTGTCAGAGAGTATTGGTGGTGAGAGTGAATGAGTAAATATGAGTGTGTCCATTCCTCGATTACACGTATGGACATATTTAGCTGCAGGAATACTACGGAATCAGTATGGAGGACATAGTTAACCATTATTAGATTATATATTGTTGTTTTGGTTGGTGGAATTGTAGTGAACCCCAGGTAGCCCCACTGGTTACCTCCGCTAATTCCCTTCCTTCAGCTGCTCAGGAACATCTTAAAGTATAAACATACCCATTTTCCACAATAACTGGACGAGACGCAGCTCTGGAGGTACAACTCTAACTGACTCTGTTTATTTTGTCACACATGGTTTTACAGACACAGACCTCTACATGGGGTCCCCAACACAATACACCAGGGGTTTCAATCCCAAGAATCTGATGGGAGGATAGACGAGGGACAAGGCCAGCCAGTTCAAATTGGACTGGCAGCGTCCCTGTGGCAACGCCCTGCTAGGACAGGAAAAGACAGGGGGAGGGGGAGAGGCACAGACAAGCAATACATTCCACTTTTATACTTTACAGGGCTGCTGCTCCCCTCTCCCCCCCTTTGTTGAACCACAGTTGAATAAATAGGCACATGTAAAACAGTCACAAAAATGGTGCTGCAAACTTGTGGCCCGTGGCAAACAAATCACACCATCCATTACATATCTCCACCCATAGAAATAGACAGCGGGCACATGGGGATATGGCACTCAGTGACTGCATTCCATCACAGGAATCTTCCCAGAGAAGTAGCTGCTTCCACTCAGTGTTCTCCCCCGCAGTTCCCCAGCTAACACCTAATCTGAAACCAGGTTCTTAGCAATGAGCAGTTACTTTGCCGCCTTGAACCCATTGCAGTATTATTGTGTTACCCAGGATCCCAACAGTGAGCCCCACACTGAGTGTTACACCATCCAGCACAAAGCAAGTACACTGACAGATACCACCTGTTACCATACCGCGGAAGCAGGACAGAGCGAGTGCTATAATAACCTTCAATCCAAATTACTATAGACCAGCTTCCTCTCTGTCTTTACCCATAATACTGCATTGGAGGGGGGTGTTGTTCGTATAAACCATTTATATGATAGTGTGTCCACTATTTGTGACACTGTGTGTTAGTGTGACTGTATATATGTTTGTGTTTGTATGTGTCTGTATGTGAGTGTGTGTCAGTAAGCAAAATTGGGCAGACTAGATGGGTTCTTATCTGCCGAATGGTTCTTATCTGCCGTCACATTCTATGTTTCTATGTTCCTAAGCAGAGTAAACGCTTACCATGCTAAGAGAGTCCAACCCTTTTCTAACAGTTTGACTGTTTTTGGCCTCAGTTTTACATGTATTTTGTCAGTGCTGTGTGTACTGTTTACATTTCAATGTAAAATGTTCTCCGTGTTTCTCCATGTTCTCCACAGGAATATTTCCACTTGTTGTTCTAACCCATCAAACACACGGGAATGTGGCCAAGGCCCAGAGCCTTTTCAGGGATATGGGGGTGGAACGGATCTTTACATTAGAGAATTATACCCAGAGGATCACATAAAGACACGAGGAAGACATGAAGAAGTCCTGAATATCTTAAATGAGGTCATTAAAGATGTCAAATTCCGAATGAGAGATCAGCAAAATCCAGTGATGAAACTGAGAGAGCGGATGCAATACATGTTCAAATATGTCTGTGAACGTGAATTAAGAATACGGGAAGAGGTAAAGGAATTAGAGAAAGTGATGCAGCTAAACCTGATGGCCATGGCAGTGAAGAAAACCAGGACAGAATCTGAAATGGAACGAGAACAGGATGAAATAAGACACGAACAAGAAAAGAGACGCCTAAAAGAGGAAATGGAAAACGAAAACGAGAAGGAAAGACAGTTACTGGAAATGGAGATGAAGAAACTTCAGGAGGAGCTGGAGAGGTTTGACTTGAAAAATAAGAACAAAAAAACAAACAAACAAAAGAAAGAGCCGTGTGCGTTACAGTGACGCTGCCCGGGGAAACCTGTAATGGGGGGGCCAGGAAACACACCCCACGATGTATATCTCATGTAATGGACACTCGCTGACACTGTACACAATGGTTCCATTCATCTTTGAGTGCAGTTTGCAGAATTTACTAGAAAGAGAACATTTATTAAACATTGGAAAAATCCCACAGATTAATAACTGAAGCTGTACACCGCCCTTTAGCCAATGCATGTTGTTAAATATAAAAAAAACACAAACATTAAACCGGGTGAGTCAGAGGTCGGGGTACGGCACTGGGTAACCTGCTGCTCCCCCTCACAGCTTTTATAAAGCTTCCTTGCAAAATGTCTTTATTCTCGGTTTGGCGGCCCCACATTTACTTACCAAACTCTAGGAACGGGATACTAAAGATATGTCACTTTACCCAGTACATGAATGATAACACAGGGATTTACACATGAAAGGAACGGCTCTGTGCTATACAAGCAGCTTGGTACATTGGCTACCGATTCTAGCTGTGTTAGTATTAAATATACCCATGGTAAGGTTCTATCTGTGGGCCCTTCCGTCTCCAATGTCCTACATAGAAATATCACATTTGCACTTTACATCATTGCATTTTACATTTTATATGAATCACTTGATTGAATGCTAGCCTTTTCTGGCATTCTCTGGCACTAGGTGCAAATTAATTATGTGATATGTTTGACGACACATGAAGCTTCACAGTAATATAATAAGGCTTCTTTGTTATGTCCACTAGATAGATTGATTGCTGTCCCTTTAACGACATAAAATGAAAATAATGAAGCAAAAACATGTATAATAAAAATGCAAAAAAAAAACCTTTTTGATTTTATTTTTTTTTTTCTGAAAACTTGTCAGCAAGCAATACCAGCCTACAGTGAAAGGGACTCCAGTGCCAGAATAACAAACCAATTTTCCTGGCACATCAGGATTCTGCAGTGTCCCCCCTCCCACCCACCCCATCCCATGTTGCTGAATGAGTTAAAACCCTTTCAGTCACTTACTTGAATCCAACTCTGATGTCCCTCAGCGCTGGGTCAGGCTCTACCCATGGCTGATGTCAGGAGGGGAGACCTAATACGCATGCGCAGCAGTGGCCGCGTGTGTTAGACCTCCCCATTGGAAAGCATCATTCAATGCTTTCGTATGGGGATTCCAGCTACGCTGGGTACCTGGAGTGTCCCTTTAACAAATCATGGAAAATTTCAATATTCTTTCTGTATTTCAGGATAATTAGTGGTATATTACAGACCATGTGATCTGAATTCCATAGTGATGATTTCCATATTATATATTTTGAATCAGCTGTACTTACCTTATAAAATGTAACAAATGAAGATTAATAAATAAAAGTATTAAAAATTACTTGTCATTTCTTTTAGGCCACAACAATATTTGGGTGACATTACATTTAAACGTATTGAGATTTTAGTTTCACACTACGGGTTACTAAGGTAAGTGCACACAGCAGAGGTTTCAATAATGTATTACCATTAAGTACATGAAAAGTGTAGCATTGAGTGCAATTAGACGTACCGCATGTTTAAAACATACACTATGGATTACAAGCCTCGTCTCTTGGATTAATATTCTAATGTAGCTGATATGGGAACAGTTTGACCATTTTTGGGGGGTGTATGAATTTACAGTATCTCACAAAAGTGAGTACACCCCTCACCCTTTTGTGTAAATATTTTATTATATCTTTTCATGTGACAACACTGAAGAAATGACACTCTGCTACAATGTAAATTAGTAAGTGTGCAGCCTGTATAAGAGTGTAAATGTACTGTCCCCTCAAAATAACTCAACACAGCCATTAATGTCTAAACCGTTGGCAACAAAGGTGCGTACACCCCTAAGGATGGACATTTCTAATTATCAGATACTATAGATAATTTAATTAGGCATGGGTGCAGTTTTTTGCATAAACAGAATATTCAGCAATATAATTAATATGTATGTGAACAGTTATCGATCCAATGGGAGAAATCTGATTGATGTTATGGAGACAAGAATCCATTTTTTTATTTTTTTTAAGAATTGGCTTTATGGTTGAACCTGATGGACTTTAGACTATTTTAAACCTAGACTAAGTAAGTAACTATGTAACCATGTAACTAGTTACCCAAAGTTCTGCTGCTCAGTTTCTCCTAAATTGCAGAATTGAATTGGCTGAAACGAGTATTCCCACTGTGCACACTTCGAAATCTCCTGCATTGCCCCTCTGGCTGTTACTATGTTACTTCACAGTATGAAGTTGAAGGTTTACAATTTTGTAACAATATAAGCTTATGTGTAACTTTATCCTTTATGTAACAGTGTCTCTCTGTGGTTCATTCGTTCCATAGTGAAAAATATTTCAGTGTCCATGTGTAGTCATTCTCTTATCTGGTCTCGTTATTTACGTTAATGTATTATGCGTATCCAGACCTCACTTTTTCTATTTAATTCCTGCATTTGGTGGTCTTGTCTTGAAAAGCAGCCTGTTTTGGCTGAAACGTTGATCGGATACATTTCTGCCCATCACTTACCCTGTTGAGATCTGTGCATGATTGCTTCCGTAGAAAGTGTGTTTTGGCTGTATAATGCATTGGGACATGGGTATTTCTTGAATCATGAGTGCGTAACTCTCATAACATTTATATATATATATTATTATTATTATTTTTAATTTTATTATAAAATATTTTACCAGGATGGCTACATTGAGATTTCTCTCTATTTCAAGTATGTCCTGGGTCCACAAAACATTGCATCGATACAATTGGATACAATAATGGAAAAATGCAAAATACAAACAATATATATGCACACACACATATAAATCTAACACATAACAGGTAATAAATATATCCAACCATGACAGGTACATTCTGTATTGAGGTATGTTGCCATAGATCTCTTAAATGATTTTAGATTGAATGACGATCTGACTGTGTCCCTGAGGTTATTCCATAATTTTGGTGCTCTGTAGGAAAAGGAGGATCGAGCCACTTTATTTTTGTATTGCGGTATGCTAAATATCGTGCTAGTACTGGATCGGAGGGTATAGGAGGTGGGAACAGCTGGGGAGAGCATTCTGCTCAGGTAGGGTGGGAGCTTCCCAGAAGGCTGGAATATATATACTAACTGCTGGGTTAATATATGTGTGCAATCACTTGTCAATAGGTAGAGGTCCACATGATAAAGAACTTTATTATTATAGCACAGGACTTGGATACAGCATTCCGATGGGACTTTATACAGGGAGTGCAGAATTATTAGGCAAGTTGTATTTTTGAGGATTAATTTTATTATTGAACAACAACCATGTTCTCAATGAACCCAAAAAACTCATTAATATCAAAGCTGAATATTTTTGGAAGTAGTTTTTAGTTTGTTTTTAGTTATAGCTATGTTAGGGGGATATCTGTGTGTGCAGGTGACTATTCGAAGCTTGGACTTGTCACCAGTGGGGTACCTCAGGGATCTGTACTTGGACCCATTCTCTTTAATATTTTTATTAGTGATATTGCAGAAGGTCTTGATGGTAAGGTATGTCTTTTTGCTGATGATACTAAGATATGTAAGAGGGTTGATGTTCCAGGAGGGATAAGCCAAATGACAAATGATTTAGGTAAACTAGAAAAATGGTCAAAATTGTGGCAACTGACATTTAATGTGGATAAGTGCAAGATAATGCATCTTGGACGTAAAAACCCAAGGGCAGAGTACAGAATATTTGATAGAGTTCTAACCTCAACATATGAGGAAGGGATTTAGGGGTGATTATTTCTGATGACTTAAAGGTAGGCAGACAATGTAATAGAGCAGCAGGAAATGCTAGCAGAATGCTTGGTTGTATAGGGAGAGGTATTAGCAGTAGAAAGAGAGAAGTGCTCATGCCATTGTACAGAACACTGGTGAGACCTCACTTGGAGTATTGTACACAGTACTGGAGACCGTATCTTCAGAAGGATATTGATACCTTAGAGAGAGTTCAGAGAAGGGCTACTAAACTGGTTCATGGATTGCAGGATAAAACTTACCAGGAAAGGTTAAAGGATCTTAACATGTATAGCTTGGAGGAAAGACGAGACAGGGGGGATATGATAGAAACATTTAAATATATAAAGGGAATCAACACAGTAAAGGAGGAGACTATATTTAAAAGAAGAAAAACTACCACAACAAGAGGACATAGTCTTAAATTAGAGGGACAAAGGTTTAAAAATAATATCAGGAAGTATTACTTTACTGAGAGGGTAGTGGATGCATGGAATAGCCTTCCAGCTGAAGTGGTAGAGGTTAACACAGTAAAGGAGTTTAAGCATGCATGGGATAGGCACAAGGCTATCCTATCTATAAGATAAGGCTAGGGACTAATGAAAGTTTTTAGAAAATTGGGCAGACTAGATGGGCCGAATGGTTCTTATCTGCCGTCACATTCTATGTTTCTATGTTTCTATGTTTCTATGTTTCTATTACTGTGCATAATTATTAGGCAACTTAACAAAAAACAAACATATACCCATTTCAATTATTTATTATTACCAGTGAAACCAATATAACATCTCAACATTCACAAATATACATTTCTGACATTCAAAAACAAAACAAAAACAAATCAGTGACCAATATAGCCACCTTTCTTTGCAAGGACACTGAAAAGCCTGCCATCCATGGATTCTGTCAGTGTTTTGATCTGTTCACCATCAACATTGCGTGCAGCAGCAACCACAGCCTCCCAGACACTGTTCAGAGAGGTGTACTGTTTTCCCTCCTTGTAAATCTCACATTTGATGATGGACCACAGGTTCTCAATGGGGTTCAGATCAGGTGAACAAGGAGGCCATGTCATTAGATTTTCTTCTTTTATACCCTTTCTTGCCAGCCACGCTGTGGAGTACTTGGACGCGTGTGATGGAGCATTGTCCTGCATGAAAATCATGTTTTTCTTGAAGGATGCAGACTTCTTCCTGTACCACTGCTTGAAGAAGGTGTCTTCCAGGAACTGGCAGTAGGACTGGGAGTTGAGCTTGACTCCATCCTCAACCCGAAAAGGCCCCACAAGCTCATCTTTGATGATACCAGCCCAAACCAGTACTCCACCTCCACCTTGCTGGCGTCTGAGTCGGACTGGAGCTCTCTGCCCTTTACCAATCCAGCCACGGGCCCATCCATCTGGCCCATCAAGACTCACTCTCATTTCATCAGTCCATAAAACCTTAGAAAAATCAGTCTTGAGATATTTCTTGGCCCAGTCTTGACGTTTCAGCTTGTGTGTCTTGTTCAGTGGTGGTCGTCTTTCAGCCTTTCTTACCTTGGCCATGTCTCTGAGTATTGCACACCTTGTGCTTTTGGGCACTCCAGTGATGTTGCAGCTCTGAAATATGGCCAAACTGGTGGCAAGTGGCATCGTGGCAGCTGCACGCTTGACTTTTCTCAGTTCATGGGCAGTTATTTTGCGCCTTGGTTTTTCCACACGCTTCTTGCGACCCTGTTGACTATTTTGAATGAAACGCTTGATTGTTCGATGATCACGCTTCAGAAGCTTTGCAATTTTAAGAGTGCTGCATCCCTCTGCAAGATATCTCACTATTTTTGACTTTTCTGAGCCTGTCAAGTCCTTCTTTTGACCCATTTTGCCAAAGAAAAGGAAGTTGCCTAATAATTATGCACACCTGATATAGGGTGTTGATGTCATTAGACCACACCCCTTCTCATTACAGAGATGCACATCACCTAATATGCTTAATTGGTAGTAGGCTTTTGAGCCTATACAGCTTGGAGTAAGACAACATGCATAAAGAGGATGATGTGGTCAAAATACTCATTTGCCTAATAATTCTGCACTCCCTGTATAAGGAATTGCCTTTCCATCAGAAGATTTAGAAAATGCAAATAATTTTCCGCAACAATTTGTTAAGGTTATTATAGTAAGTAAGCCTACATGCGAAGGATTAAACTAAGTCGTAAAGGTGTGTGGATGAATGGGACCAGTTTGTCATGGAAAGAGTACAGGTTACAATAGTAAAAGAGGGCCTCATAGATGGGAATATCATTGGTGTTTATGTATGGGCCACATAAGATTTTAGACTTTAGTGATGGGTTGCACCTAAACGGGAGAGGGTCTGCAGTGCTGGGGGATAGGATGGCTAGAAGGTTGGAGGAGATTTTAAACTAGTAGTTGGGGGGGAGGGTCATAGCAATCTACAAAATGGAGATAGGACAGAAAGGAGATGGGCTTTAGCACAGTATAAGGGGGGTGGAAACGGGGGGAGGGGCAAGCTCAGAACAGAGAAGCTGTGTAATGGTGAAAATTCACAAAAAG